GAGCTGCCTTGAAAATCCACCGCTTGTCAGATGCATTTTTCGGGGCCGGGAAAACGCATCTGGGAGCGTGCTCCGTCTATGAGCTGCCTTGAGAAAATCCACCGCTCGTCTAGGTGCATTTTTCGGGGCCGGGAAAACGCATCTGGGAGCATGCTCCTTCTAGGAGCTGCCTTGAAAACCCACCGCTTGTCCAGATGCATTTTTCGGGGCCGGGAAAACGCATCTGGGAGCATGCTCCTTCTAGGAGCTGCCTTGAGAACCCACCGCTTGTCCAAATGCATTTTTCGGAGCCGGGAAAACGCATCTGGGAGCATGCTCCTTCTAGGAACTGCCTTGAGAATCCACCGCTCGTCTAGATGCATTTTTCGGAGCCGGGAAAACGCATCTGGGAGCATGCTCCTTCTAGGAGCTGCCTTGAGAATCCACCGCTCGTCTAGATGCATTTTTCCGAGCCGGGAAAACGCATCTGGGAGCATGCTCCTTCTAGGAGCTGCCTCGAGAACCCACGGATTGTCCAAATGCATTTTTCGGAGCCGGGAAAACGCATCTGGGAGCATGCTCCTTCTAGGAGCTGCCTTGAGAATCCACCGCTCTAGATGCATTTTTCGGGGCCGGGAAAACGCATCTGGGAGCATGCTCCTTCTAGGAGCTGCCTTGAGAATCCACCGCTCGTCTAGATGCATTTTTCGGAGCCGGGAAAACGCATCTGGGAGCATGCTTCGAGCTGCCTTGAGAATCCACCGCTCGTCTAGATGCATTTTTCGGAGCCGGGAAAACGCATCTGGAAGCATGCTCCTAGGAGCTGCCTTGAGAATCGAATCCACCGCTCGTCTAGATGCATTTTTCTGAGCCGGGAAAACGCATCTGGGAGCATGCTCCTTCTAGGAGCTGCCTCGAGAACCCACGGATTGTCCAAATGCATTTTTCGGAGCCGGGAAAACGCATCTGGGAGCATGCTCCTTCTAGGATCCGCCTCGAGAATCCACGGCTCGTCTAGATGCATTTTTCGGGGCCGGGAAAACGCATCTGGGAGCATGCTCCTTCTAGGAGCTGCCTTGAGAATCCACCGCTCGTCTAGATACATTTTTCGGAGCCGGGAAAACGCATCTGGGAGCATGCTCCTTCTAGGAGCCTTAAAAATCAACCGCTCGTCTAGATGCATTTTTCGGGGCCGGGAAAACGCATCTGGGAGCACGCTGTGTCTGGAGACTTCCATCAGTTGTGCCCCCGGAGCCTTGCAAGCTGGTCGATTCGGATCGGTCGAATCGCTTCGGCCCTAGTCGAATCGAAAAATCGAATCGAGCCGAATCGCATCGGCCATCCGTGTTATCTTTACTTCAATACCCAAATACTGTGTATAATTTATGTTTACAGGTGAAGGTATATTTGCATTCATTACAATGTGACCCTTTTCTCGAGGGTACCCTTTTCAGATTGAAGGGACACCAAAAGGAAAGCCGCCGTGTTCGGGGTCACCCAACATTGACGAGTAACCCCCTTGCGTACCTTCCCGTATGGTGGACACTTGGGGTCCTCCTTCTTGGGTATTGGTTTGTTGAAGGTGACCGGACATACTGTGAATGGGTACGAAGTCCATGCAACGCACCACCGTTCAGAAACCCGATAATGATGCGATTTCCAACGTAAATACCCACAAACGTTATGATTTACCATGGTTTCAGACGCTTCCTTCCGTACTGTGGGTGGACGGAATCCGTTCGCACCACTTTGAAACCATGGTTGAAACATCGTTGGTTGGAACAGGGGGATCATCATTCCAGAGTTTCGTAGGTGGTGCAGGATTTCGTCCATCCACAGCATGGTGGACACTTGGGGTCCTTTTTTGCAAGCTCCTCCTTGGGTGGTTTGTTTCGGGTTCTTGCAACATGGACAGGTGTCCATGGCACCCCAAGATCTCCGAGCTATTTGGGGGTGGCTTGCGGCAGCTTTCAGGAAGTTTGTAGAGCAGTACTCTTTCTATGATTCCAAAGGCCAATCCCTTGACTACATTCTCTCTTGCTAGAAATTGGTCCCACAACCCTGTTTTCCAAAGCCAGGCAAGACTTCCCCCCCACTCCAAATACCCACTTTTCTTAGGGTATCATGTCGACCCTCTACTAGGTATTTACCTTGAAAAACCGATTGGTTTTCCAAAAACCTCCCTAGAAAAAGTGGGGAATTTGGAGTAGGGGGTATCTTCCCTTTCTGGCGTCTTCTTGGTGAAAGGAAGGCACCCCTTGCCCCTTTCCTCAACGGGCGGTTCAGGCCGAGCCGCTCCCTCTCCACAGAAGTGGCCCGAGCCGGCGCCTGAGAAGCGACAAAAGCCGAGTGATCGGTCGCAGCTGTGACCGACCTGGAGTCTCCTTCTGACCAACCATTTTTAAAGGGTCATGGAGGCTCTAGTTGTCTTCGTTGTCTAGCCGGATCCCTTCTGCCTTTTGGGGGAGGGTGGGGGGTCCCCCAGTCCCATTTCCAAATATTTCCAGTGATAGATCCCTCCTTGAAACCATCCTGGAGCAACTGGAAGGAAGCGAAGGCCGACTTGAACGGCGAGACGCGGTGGCGAAGCCCTGAAGGAATAGACCCCAAAGAATCGGAGGGAAGCTGACGATCGGAGGGCTCTGGAAGACGACATTCCCTTTGGGGGAACCCCGCTGTCAACTTCCATTGCTGGAAAGAGGGCGTTCAAAAGCCTGAGCACAGAACGATCGCACATGACATAATGGGGGCCAAGTGAACTCCGAGAGCTTGCCTGGGGCCTTGGTCAGCAAATGAATATGGCAGCAGCAGCCAGGTGCAATATGGACAAATTCCTGCGCCAGTTGGGATGGATGAATGCACATGAATACTGGGATAAACCATCACCATCTACCTTTGTCTGTCCGAAGCATCACCGAAAACAACACACAGTCACCTTACCTTGGTTGCTTTCTGCTCCCCTGTTGAAAGCTTAACTTTTGGTTTACTGGAGAATCCATTAGTTGGCAAAAAGTTAAAGTCGTAACATCCCTTGGCACAATGCACTAGGGCTCCTTAAAAGATACATTTTGCACAGTTCAATCATAACTTTTTCCACCAAAATCAAGGGACACCATCATTTACAAGGCAATGTTCAGGTGTATAATGTAAGGACCCCTGTCAAAGTTACCCCAAATTAACGATTTGGTTTGGTCGGGGGCACCTTCCACCAAATGGGTGTGGCAAGGAGCTGGGCTTCAAATCCTGCCACCGGGCTCCAACCCACCAATGAAACAGCGCAAAAACAAGAACATGGAGTTTCAAGGTTGTGTCCATTGAATCGATCGCCACTTTGCTTGGTTGCTGCAACGCCCCCCCTGCAAAAAGTTTTTCACTTTTTGGGGGTTTAGTGGAGAAAACCCAACTTGATTTCAACCAAAAAGTTAAAGATCCAAAGATCCGTTACCCAATAGCAGTCAAGTTTGGGAGGTTCCACAAAGGGAGCCTGCTCCAACATCCTGCACCCCGTTTCTCGGATTTGGACTGCTCCCCGCTCCCCGCCTGCGTGAATGGCAATGGCATTCGTGCCGCCGCCTCCGAAACGAAAGCTTTTAAATGGATGGCGCAGGCCAAACAAAAATTGACCTCCAGCACCCCAGCCACTGCTGGTTAGGCAGCGCCAAGGTGTTTTTTTGTTTTTTCTGTTTCTCCCTCTTTTTCTCCGACATGAGAAAACACCAGTGGTTGGGATGCGCTGGCTCTGTAGGTTTGGATGGAAAGCCAGTTGGTTCCACAGGCCAGCCATGGTATCTGGGCACATTGCAGAGTGAAGGCCGGAGACAAGGAAGCTCATTCCTTGGTTGCTGCAATGACCCCCCTGCAAAACGTTTTTCACCTTTTGGGGTTTAGTGTTGAACACCCAACTTGATTTTGGAGTCTAGAGTCTAAAGATCCGTTGCCCAATAGCAGTCAAGAAATTCTACCCCCCCCAAAGCGCGCCACCATGTTCACGGGCTTCCAACGGGGAACCTTCTTGAGCCCCTGAAAACACAGCGCGAGGCCCAGATCGTCCGTGAGCCGCCTGCGCCTGCTGGAATTGCTGGTCCGGCCTCACCGAGCTTCCCAGCCATGCAACAGCTCAAGGCGCTCAAGGCTTCCGAGGCCTTAAACCACCCAAGATTTGCTGGCAAGCCACCTTCCAGGCCATCCCCCAACCGCATCAACAAGCTTTGGGCTAAAAGCCTACGGACCCCCCCCCAAACCCAGGCGGGAGGCCTGTGTGCGCAGTTCCATGTTCGGGTCACATTTGCTCGAGCTCCATCCGGTTTCGGGCCCAAGGGCAAGAAACTGCGGCCAAGTAACATGGAACCTGACAGGTCCTGCAAGCAAAGTTTCCGTTTAACGGGACCTCGTTGTCAGGATCCATGTTTACTGGGGGGCGGGTACAGACTATTTCACACCCTATCTTCTGCCGGGAAGATTTGAAACAGCTTGCAAACGTTTGCGGCCGAAGCCCAACCGGGATGGGCCAGCACGCCGATCTGGATTGATCACATGAAGTGTGCGGAGCAACGAAAACACACTAAGGAGTTGAAATTGGAAAGCAGCACGTGATGAACTTCCGTTTGCTCAAGCCTCCCGGAAAAAATGATAACATATTTCCAGCAGTGAAATTGTTTCCCTATAAAACAAAAAAGGGACTCTAAAACAAAAACAACCTTGTCCGTTCAGGTATAGAGTCACAGGAGCTTGCTGTCCCCTCCCTGTGAAACAATCAAGTACCGCTGCCTATCTTCGTTGCCCTCACCCGCCAATTAAGAAGGTGTCGTGCTCTTAGTTTGGGGCTCTGGCGCCCCGGACGCATTCTTGGCCCTGGAAGGCAGGGGCTCTCTTTTTGCTTTCTCGAGTGGAACAAAACTTAGGTGGAATCAAACAGAATCACCATAGTGGACACCAACACTTGCCTGATTCGCGCTTAAATTCCCAAGGTGTAAGCTCGGGACCCCATTTTTGGTAGCATGCCTTTTTGGGACAATACCTGGTCACTGCCAAAATTCCACAGGCCCGGGCTGTTCGGACCCGCGGCGCGACCAGAGCTCCTACGGATCCAGGCAAAAGCTTGCCAAGCGCAAATGGGAGTCCAAGAGCAACAAACCGACTTCCAACGAACAAATGAGCAAACATGCGGCGAGAAAGTGATGTTCTGCCTTTGTCCACAGAAGAGAGGAGCAGCCCCGCCTGCCCTCCGTCTATTGCACGGTTGCCCTCCAAAGACCCTAGAAGGGCCTAACTTGGGCCCGCAACCAGCCGTGGGGTTTAACAGGGCATGCTGACATCTGGCGGAGGCCCCTGGCCCAGTTCTCCAACTGGCCGCATGATTTTACCATCAAAGTCACCCCCCTAACTGGCGCTAACTGGTGGGTTAAAGGGAAACCACCGATTTCCATTTTCCGACTTTGATCCCCCCAGAAACCGAATCAAACTAATGACCCCGGTCCAGGCCCCGCCCTCGTCCTGAGGGTCCCGCCGCGAGCGCCGGGCACCGCGCTCGGAGTGGGCAATGTGCACCTGCGAGTCACCGACAAGAGGTCTTTGTGGCCGGAAGCTCTCATCCATGATCCGAGTAAAAGAACAAAGCAACAGCTAGCCTGGCAGGTGGTTCTGGGCACCGTATTCCCGGAGCAAACTGCACCTTGACACAGAACCATGGAACATCTCCCTAGAAAAACCATGCTGGCCATCTTCAGCTTCTTTTCTCTGCCCACATTTTGAAACAGCCCGTTATTTGGCCTCCAAACAAACTGCCTCTAGCCGTATAGGAGGCCTGGCAGCCCCCAAGCCCGGTTCCGAACGTGAAGCAGCCTGAAATAAATCCAAATGTGCGGCAGATTTTGAAATACCGTGGATGGACGAAATCTGCCCCACCTAAGAAACCCTCTATTGCCCGACTCTTCTCGAAATCCCACCGACCTGGTGCGAAATGGTTCGATTTCGCCCACCGGTTGGACTTGGACTTCGCCCTGCCTGCTGGCCCTCCTGAACTTCCAGCAACTCTGCCAGCTTCAGGGAGATCAGTGCCACCCCGGTGGGCACCGTGGAGCCTCAGAAGGGCAAAGACAAGGAAACCGATTGGAACGAATTCAACAAAATTTTGAGTTGGCTGTTGAGGTTTGTGACCTGGCGCGGCTGCGGCTGCGGAACGGTTCGGCTACCTTTGTGTTCGTGGTTTTGCCGGTCGTGTTTGGTCATGTGTGTGTGCTTGTTCATGTGTGTGTGTGTGTGTGTGTGTGTGTGTGTGTGTGTGTGTGTGTGTGTGTGTGTGTGTGTGTGTGTGTGTGTGTGTGTGTGTGTGTGTGTGTGTGTGTGTGTGTGTGTGTGTGTGTGTGTGTGTGTGTGTGTGTGTGTGTGTGTGTGCGTGTGCGTGTGCGTGTGCGTGTGCGTGTGCGTGTGCGTGTGCGTGTGCGTGTGCGTGTGCGTGTGCGTGTGCGTGTGCGTGCGTGTGCGTGTGCGTGTGCGTGTGCGTGTGCGGGTTTGTGTGTGCTTGTTCATGTGTGTGTGTGTGTGGGTTTGTGTGGGTTTGTGTGTGTGTTTGTGTGTGTGTGTGTCACTTTCCTGAGCTTGGTTGCTGTTGACCCCCCTGCAACAAAAGTGTTTCACTTTCTGTTTAGTGGAGAAAACCCCCAAGTGTTTTCTCAACCAAAAAGTTGAAGTCCAAAGATCCGTTGCTCAATAGCAGTCAAGATTCTAACCCCCACCAAGCGCGCCACCATGTTCACGTGCTTCCAACGGGGAACCTTCTTGTGTGAGCTCCTTCAAGTGAGTCACACTCCAAACCCGGTACGAAAATGGTCGACCCAGAACCATGTCAAGAATTAAGAAGGCGGCTGCAGATGGTCCCTTACCTCACTTCCCAAGTTGACTGGCCAAAAAAAGTTTGAACTTTCTATTTACCACTAAAATGGTCTTCCCAAAAAGTTTAAAGTTCATGAACTCAGGAAGTGTCCCTTACTAACCTTCATCTGCCCAGGTTTTGGTTGTGGCTCAGGTGAGGACCCCGAATCCGATCGCCATCGCTCGCCCGGGCTGCCGGGCTGAGGTGCAGCACCGCCACATGGCCCCGCTGGGACCCGGGCCTTCGCAGGGTCACCTGAGCGATGCCAAGGCGACGGGACCGGGGCTTGCTATGTCAACGTCAGGATTTTTGGGGCTACAACCAGTTCTTAAGTTGGAGTTTTGAGGGTTCAGGGTGAAATGCAGTGGATGGTTGCGAAACCCATGCAACGCACCACCCAAGACACCCTAGATTGAGTCGATTCCCCAACGTAAATACCAACAAAGGTTATGGTTTGAACCATGGGTTCAAAGTGGTGCGAAATGGATTTCGTCCATCCACAGTATGTGCGACCAACCTCAGATAAGCAGGTTGTGGCCGGGCCACCTGCTGGCTTCAAGCTTTGGACATGTGACCACCTTTGTTTCAAGCTTGGCGCAGTGATTGCCATGCTGTTCTAACCTACCTAGGGGTTGGTCCCCTATCCTAAGTCGCCATGATGACGTGATGTTTATATAACCAGGGGTCGGTCTACTTAAAGGGGCAGGGTACTTAGTGGGTAGTAGCCATGGTTCTAACCCACTGAGACTTATAACCCTGGTAAGTGGGTTCCCATGGTTACTCACCACTAAGTACCCGATCGCCCCAAGTAGCCATGAGTGACCAAAGTTGGTACATCCCAGCGAACCAACGGAACTGGCCGGCCTCCCCCAAGTTCTTGGCGGCGAAGCCCGCCGCGGTGCCGGGGCTCACCTTCACCAGCCTCCGGAAAAAACCCGAGCCGCGAGGCGCGAGCTCGGGGGCCGAAGACATCGAGGCCACTGAGACTTGGTGAAACAAAACCACAGTGGCCCGAGCTGCTTTTTTTTTTTTTAATGAACGCATTACTAGGTCCTCCAGATTTGAGAGGTTAGAATAAGGGTACTCTCTTTTTTCAGGACGTCTATTTTAGTAGGGGAAGCCTCCCAACCAAAAAAAAATGGTAGAAGGGCAGACTACTGGGGGACCTAGTCTATATGAACACAATTGATTTCTAAATTGGAACAGGGCACTTGCAGTTCGCCCTGTGGCACTCTTTGATATTTTGTTGTGAATTCCAGGATGGATGCACACAAATCTCCGCATCCAAACCGCCTGCTTGGGGGCTGCAAACTGTTCGTACATTGGGGTGCCTCAGTTCCATCTAGCGGACATGATATGTATGAAGTCCTGGGGTCGAAAGCCACCCCTTTCTTCCATTCCATAACTGGGTGGGCATGATCCAACTGAGAGCAGGCGAGAAGCTTCCAAACACTTAAAGGCATGGACTTGCCCGTGCACACGTTCGAAACTTGTCTGTGGTGATGGGGGTGAAGTTGCATCGGAGACCACTCCAGCATGAGTACCAATGAACCGACTCACCTGGTTTAACCCCCTCGGGCTCCCTTTTGAAAGAATCAAATCAGCTTGCAAACCTTCCAAGGGGTAAGGCCACGCGGTCAGGGTTACTGACACATGTCCATCACATGTCCCGTTTAAACAATAACTTCAAGAGAAGACTCTTTTGGAAGTGGAAAAGGCCATGCTTTGGCGCCAGTGCAAAAACAATGGAAACGCAGGAGGTCTGGAGGTTGGTAGGTTGGTCGACAGCTTAAACCCAAACCAAAGGGGCCATCAATTTGACCCAAAACTGAGTTCCTGTTGACCATGGGGGGAATGGGCAAATCTGCTTGAGGGCTAGTTGTCTTTAATGCGGACCCCAAATCCAAAACACAACACTTAAGGCATCAACCCGCTGGAGGTCTGAGCCACCAAATGCCCAACAAGGAACAGCCCCCCAAAAAATGGGGGGGGGGAGTTGTTTGTTCTTCTTCGAGTTCCCTTTGCAAGCAAAGAACAAACAAAAAACGGGGCGACCGGTGCCCCATCATGGACCCTCCGGTGCCAACCAGAAGCCATCCGCACGTCGCGCAAGCCGCAAGCCATCCGAGGCGCAGCTTGGGGATGCCATCCTCCAAGCGCACCGAGGCCAAGAGGCCCTCCATGAGGTCACCCGCCTCAAGTTTCCGCTTCCGCTCGCAACGGCTTCACCTTGGAACCTCCTCTTGGGCTGCCTCTTGGGCCTCACCTTGGGGCTCTCTCTTGAGGTTCAAATCCCCCAAAATGTCTGCAAGGCCCAAGTCAGAAAATCTCACCTTGAAACTTCCTGGGCTTCAAATCTCCCAATAATTTTCCCAACTTGGGGCCCAAGTCCGGAATCTGAATGGACCCGTAAGGCTTCAAGCTCGCGAAGCCGATGAAGCTCAAACATATCAGCCCCCCTCTTGGGGCAAACCCGTCTTTTTTCGGCGTTCCCGGGTGGAGAGGGGCCCCTTTACCCCATAGCGGTGCACAAGTGTGTCACAGATGGGGTAACATAAACAATCTCCTGCGCCTGTTCGTGCGCGAGTGTTCAGCTCTTATTCGTGAACGAACACGGCTGCAATGGCGGCCCTGGATTGGAGGAGAAACAAGCCACCATCTGCATTGTCGTTTTCTTTGTCTTGCTTTTTCGATTTGTCCAATATCATTCGCACACGCGCCGGTGTTTAGCACATAAATAAAGGAGTGGGTGGAGGGGAGAGCGACCCCTAGCATCAACCACACCTCGTTCCCCGCAAAGAGAAGCAACACAAAAGGCATGTCTCCAAATACTGAACACGAGCCTGGGTGAGGTATTCCTTCTGGCTCCAACAAACCACTCCCTAACCAAAAAGTCAGGTTCCCCCAAAGGACTTTCCCTAAACCGTTGCTTCTGGAAAGGGTCCAAGTTCATCTGCAAGGAAGCCAACAGGGGCTCAGCCCATCCTGGTCCGAATCCGCCGGTGCAACCCTCATCGGACAAGCCGCACATGGCGGTCAGCCGGGGAGACAAACCATCGTCCAGAAAGTGCCACCCCAAAATGGCGGGTGAGTTGGCTGGGACTTTGGGCGATGCAAGTTCAAGACAGCAACTGGATGGCAGGGAAAGCCTCCAAACTGTTGGAACTGAACCCTGTTAATCAAACGGTGCCACATTGAAATTCAGGCCAACCTTCCCTACTTCTTTTGCTTACTCATGGTGACACCTCGCATGTCCTTGCATCAACAGCCGAAGCGTGGGTCAAGAAAAGGTACCCCAAATGGAACCCTGGTAAATGGAAACATGGACCAAAACTTGCGGTCCCCTGGTGTTTGAATTTTGACCCATGCTCAAATAGGGCTAAACACATCGATTGGTGCCATTGGACTGGTCGCTGTGAAGTCAGCGGCTGCGCGGTACCAGGGCGGCTGGCTGACGTATAGGGGATAGAGGGCATGCAGGGACGTTGAAGGGCAGGTCCAAGCCAATCAAAAGCCAAAGCACATCAAGATTCTAGAAAAATATCAACACAACTGCTTCCACCCAACAAGGCAAAATACGAGGGGGATCATCCTGGAATCCAATTCCAGCATCAAGATGCTACCCAGAGGCTCCAATTCGACTCATTTAGGGCCCGATTTAACCGCCGTTGGTTTTGAGACCCCCAAGCACCGAAGCGGGGTGTCCAATGGAGGGGTCGGGTCTTCCATTGAAAGCCCCAGGAGCCTCTGGGTAGGAGAAATCACCCACAACTGCTTCCACCCAAAGCAAAACACGAGCGGGTAGTCCATCCTGCTTTAGAACGATGTTTTGGGTGTCATGACTTTGTTTCAAGAACTGGTAAGCCCATGCACGTCAGGGGGTGTGCTGACAAAATCCCACCATTCTCTTCCCGTGAAATATGGCCATGGGCCAAAACCCTGCCACCGAACTCCATCGGACCGGATGGCTCGAGCGGTCTCGAGCGGTCTCGCTTTTCGTGTCAGTTGCACTCGTAGCCATCTTTCATGTGAAACCTCTCGAGGAAACATGCCCACTAAACAGGCCGAGGAAACAAGCCCACCAAACAGGAACGTGGAACTTGCGGCTGCAATAATTTTTTGCTGGAGAGCCCCAGCGTTACTACCAAGTTCGGCCAGCCTGTCACTCCTATCCCCTTTGCAACTCGATGCACAGTCGGCACATAGGAGCGAACACTTTTTGAACGCTGCACAACCAAGCAAAACAAGATAACATAAGGCAAACACAAACCCCACGCAGCTAATCCTTGCGGCCTGTTCTGGCGCTCCCTCCCGCTTACTGTATACAAGGCGGCCTGTTAAAACACACTGCAAAAAAAAAAAACAGCTCACCAGGACCTCCCACGTTCTGCCAATTATTCACCTAGGGTACAAGTGGACTATTCTTGGAAGATGCTGCCAGCAAGGCCTTTGCGGTTTTTCGCAAACTGGGCAAACGAAGCCTCAGCCGTGGCCATGGGAGAAAAACAACAACGACCACACCTTGTTTCTTGATTTGACAGGGACAGGGCCAAATGTTCCGGGCACTGCTCCTCAAGCTGGGCACCTGGTCTTGAGCAGGTGCCGCGCACCGCGAGATTTCCGAGCCTCGCGAATTTCCATCTCGTGCAAAGGGCCCGCAAACGATTTGAGTCAGGGGCTCTCTGAAGGTACCTCATCTTCGCGAATTTGCGAATTTGTAATTAACAAGTCACCTCTTCATCAACCCAAAAATCCTGAACATCCGTAAATATAGAGCACTTGGACACTCTGGGAGAGGGTCGCAGGGTCTATTCAGATGAGGAACGACCGGTGCCGGTTCCAATTTCTTTGGGCGCCATGGGCGCTGCAATTGGCGGGTCAAGCTGGCCACCAAAAATCAGAAAGCAAATTCACGGATCGCTCCTGAGGCATCAGATTCGCCCTGCTAAGACTGAACGCTTTGAACAAGGTCAGCTTTGGCTAAGGAGAGGAAACAATTCCAGAGTTCCCTGAAATGCGACTGCTCTGCCCCCAAGGCCAAAAGTGCCTATGAGGTTCCCAACCTAGGTCCTCCAGTAGAGAGGTTAGAATAAGGATGCCCTCTTTTTCGGTCTATTTTAGTTGGGGGACCCCTCCCAACCAAAAAAGGGTGAGAAAGGGCACCTAGCTGGGGGAGCTAGCAACAATTCTGGCAGCTGACGATCGAGTTTGGAAGACTGACTGGGGAAGACCCCCGGTCAGCCATGATCTTCACAAGGTCCTTTGAACTTTCGATTCTCAGCAGGGCATCAACGAGTCATCCAGCAGCTTTGTGGTCTCTTCATCTCCGCAATCATCCACCGGAGCCACTGCCATCCTTGGAATTCGGTTGCTCCAATGCTCGCTTTGTCTCACTTGCTGGCCAAAACAAGTCTAAACTTTCAGCTGGTCCAACCCCCCCCCCCCCCCAAGAAAAGACAAAGGTATATAGCATGGTATGACAACTCCCAACTGGGGACTCCGAACTCGCGAGTTTATCTTGCAATGCTCCAATCCAGCTTGTTGATTTGATATCTTGGCCTGGGGTACAGTTTTTTTTTGGATTCAAAGGGACGCCAAAGGGAAAGCCCACTTGTCTTCGAAATCAACGGACCCGCAACCGTTGTTGGGGCCAACTGGGCCGCAAGCTTCGGGCGCGGCATGAAAATGGAAGAAGCTTCAAGTTGCCAAGTGTCCAGATCTTGCCGTCGGGGGACATTGGCAGCTCAATGAAGCATTCCTGGCCCCCAGGAACCGCAAACAGACTCTTGGAGTAAAGCTCGGAGATCTAAGGATCTCCGATCCCGCAGCGCAGAAGAAGTCTGTGCGCTCCTTGTGACCATCTGCCATTCAAATGTGATCAAGGAGCCCATGTCTCCAATCCGTCAATGCCTCACACTCCCGAGGCTATGTATGCCCTCTCGCGGAAACAGCTCTGCATGGCAGTTGCGCCAAGCGCACGAATCCCAAGGCCCTGTCCTCAGAGTAGTTGAACGTGCTTCGACGTTTCCCTGTCTGATCCTGGCGTCGATCTGAGAGATTTCTTACGAGGGCATGCCGGCGGCAGCCCCCAACTCATCAATTCATCAGCCGGATGAGCAAATCATGGCCCGTCAATACTTGGTTGCTGTAGACCCCCCCGCAATTGTTTTTTTTCTTCACTTTTTGGGGTTTAGTGTTGAAAACCCAACTTGATTTCAACCAAACAGTTAAAGTCTAAAGATCCGTTACCCAATAGCAGTCAAGAATACTTCCCGCCTGCGTGCGGCCCCTCTGTTGCAAACAGCCCATTTGAAATCACCCCCAATGCCAGGGAAGATGCCCAACAAGGAATGGCAGTCCGGCTGCCCATCGCTTCAGTTTGGGTTTCCCCACCGCGGATGGACAAACACTTCGCACCAGTTGGTTTACCCAGCGACTCGATTTATCTGGTTTTGTAGATCACCAGCGGTACCAGCCGTTAAACACTTAGAAGAAATAGCTGGTTACCTGCTAAAACCCGTCGGAGATGAGATATGCTCAGTGGTTCGATTCCACCTTCTGCACAGTCCAAATACAACGGAATACACATGTACATGGTACAAGATGCAAACGTACTAATCAAACAAATAATGTCTAGTGAACGTTGTTGATACACTAGCTCCTCCAGTAGAGAGGTTAGAATAAGTTGGTACCAACTTTGTTCAGGACGTCTATTTTTTAGTAGGGGAACCCTCCCAACCAAAAAAGAAAACGGTGAGAAAGGGCACGCATTTCTGGGGGAGCTAGCAACAATTCTGGCATGAACTTTTCGTGGCTTGCGTCTGGGATCCGGGCTCCCCATGCCGCGAAAGAACTCCACCACTTGGTTGCTGCAACGACCCACCCCCCCGCAAAAAGTTTTTCACTTTTTGGGGTTTAGTGTTGAAAGCCCAACTTGATTTTTCAACCAAAAAGTGAAAGTCTAAAGATTCGTTGCCCAATAGTAGTCAAGTGACCCACGGAACGGAGGCTTATAACCCATGTCCTTTGTGGGTTATAACAAGGCTCACTGACCACTTACTAAGTACCCAATAGCAGTCAAGATCACTGGGTGATTTGTTGGCAAATCATGGCAAATCCAAATCGCCTCGATGCCACACAGCTCCCGGGTGGAGAGAGTCACCCTGGCCTTGGCATGCAGGACACATCCAGCGCGGCACCAGAGGCTCCCCTCTCAAAACTTCCATTTGCGGACAGGAGCCCACTGGAAACAACCAAAAAAAAACAGAAAACCACTTGTCCAATAGAGAGAAATCGACCCCCTTTAACACCCAAAAGGGGGAAACACAAGTCATTTCGGCAAATGGAAAATGGGCCGCCGAGCTCGCACTGTGGCTGGACGGAGTTCACTTCGCACCACTTGGAATGGATAAAACCCCACATTTGAACTCTGGGGATAACCCACCTCCCCTTCCACCCTTTTCACATGGAACCTGACGTTTCGGGGGGCGGTCTGGACCATTTTCCTTCAGGACCCCCCTGTCAGGTTGGATGTTAATTTGTGGACGGGTACCACCTGGAGGATTTCGTCCATCCGCGGTATCAGGGCTTCTTGGTATAAATCCCGCATTCCGCCCTCTGGGAGTCCGGGAGAGCGAAGAAGTGATGAACCTCCCACTAAAACCAGGGACACCCCCACAGTTTCCAATTTGGAGATGAACCTTTACGGGTGAGCGGGATTTACCCCGGAAGCGCTCATCCATCAATAACTCTTTGCATCGTCTCCATACCCTACATCTGCTTAAGTCCGATATTTCCAGTAGTGATAGATTCCCTTCAAAACCAAAAGGGGAAAATCAAACTATTCTTAAGCAACTGGAAGATACATGTTTCCACGGTCGCCTAATTCAAGATTGGACATCTGCGATGGGTTCCGCTTGTTGTCCCTCAATTTTATCTGATTGTCAAACCCTTGGTTTGTTCCTCGCACTGCACGCCCGCTACGGGCTCGACTCAAATCCGGAGCCAAGTTGCCAGCTTTGTGGACCCCTGCAGGTAGCCCAACCCCTTGATTGAAACATCTTAAACCCGCTTAGTATCACTCTCCTGGCAGTTTCCCTATGGGAATCATCTGGTTCTATTTCGTTTGTTCCCAGTTCCCGGTGCAGCTGAGATGCCACTTCTGAGCTCACCAGCAAGGACTGGTCTTTGACCAGCAGCGTCATTAAGGTGTCCGGCGCGAGCTCCTGGGGTCGATATGAGGCAAGCCGCCCGACTGGGTGACAGGTAAAGAGGAAGGTCTGGCGAAATAGAACAATTGCCCATCCCATGTTACTTTCCCCTCGGCGAGAAAAAAGCCGAAAACAAACTGTTGTTTCTCCCAAGCCTGCGTTAAAAAAAAGAAAAACAACTTTGCCAACCCAGGCCAACCCAAAAGTGCCGCAAAACCCTCTCTGAGAAAAAGACCAAGCTTCATCGATGTTAATCTGAAAGGATTCCCGGATCACAGCTTGACTGCCAGCGTTGTTGTGAACGCGGGTGCGCATCGGCTCGTTGAAGCCTCAGGCGCATGCCAAATTCCCCGATCAAGGGGCGGGAAAAACACAAACGTTTTTAGCAAATGGGTTTCTGGGTGGTCAGAGAGCCCGAAGGTCTCATGCAATGCTTCTCTTGCGGAGGAAGCAATGTCTCTTCTTAGTACTCGCAGTTCGCCATTCCTCGTGCAATGCTTCTCTTGCGGCGGGAAGCCTTCATTCCGAACAATGCCAAACTTTTGCGCATGCTGTCAATAGTGGCACCATATAGAAGTACCTGGCCATTTTTTGCAGAGATTCGCCCTTTGACTGCCTAAACAACCAGAGGGTAGCGACTGAAAGCCACGGGCTGTGTTGTATGACAAGTCAAAAATGTGATGCCTGCGACTTGCCCTAGCCCCCCCCCTCCAATCCGCCGGAACGGCTCTGGCCGTTAGGCTAAACAAGCACTGGGCACCCAGCTGCCTCCACTTCACACATGAGCCGCGATCAACTCATTGGGCCCCTACATGACATGAACACTTGGCGGGTAAACCCCCCTTGCCCGGGAAATTTGGTGGGTGTATCGAATGCTGTTCTGTTGGCCACTGTATATGATAGTGTTGTCTGCCACGCTCAAGCCGCTTGACTGGATTTTCCTCAGCATTGGCATGGCGCGGGCCCCGATCGCGAACTCCGGGCCCGAATCCTGACTCGGGCCTTGGAAGTGCCAAGTCTCCAGCAGGCCTTCAGCTCGCATCCACCGAATCTGCTTCACATCGGCTTCGGCCAAAAAGGCGGACACACTCCCGCGCGGGCCGATCGGCGAAGGGGCCGATGTTTGGCTGGGTGGTCTTCTTCAGCGCGCGCGTCTGGTAGTCTTGGCCGCCAGCGTGGTCCAACAGGTCCAACACATCTGGTAGCTTCCAGTTCCAGGTTGCTAGTCAGCTATCAGCTGCCCAGCGCCTCTTGCAGCAGCCCGCGGAAACGGCGAAAAGAAACCCACTGTGAAGATCACACGCCGCTCCAGGACAGGCGCCAATTGCGAGAAGCGGAGGCCTCGGAGGCCGCTTCTGGTACCTCAGGGAACCGCCATGGCGATTTTGGAACTCGGTAAAGCAAAAGGGGACCTGGCCGAATGACAATTCGCTTGTTTCTTAAACGAACCTGACACGTCTATAAGTGACTTGCCCCCCCAAACCAAACAAAAACAAGAACCATAACAAATTCACAAGCAACATGCCAGCTGCTTCATGTTTTTCCAGGAAAACCCCTCCGAAAAACAAAGAGCAGCAGCCTCCAGGACTGGGGTTGCAGCCTTGGTGTCCGCCGTCTCCGAGCGAGCGTCGGGCAGGGCCCAACTCTGGCGCCAGCTCCGCGCAGAGGTAGCGGCACGCTCCTAGCGACCCAAGTTCCGGGGATGAATTCGATAGGTAGACATTAAAAAACATAAACCTAGGCTTGATATGTGTTCTTTGCTCATGATTTAGTCAAGGGCAAAGATATAAGATGGTCCCAAACGTTGACCCAGGTGATTCGGTAGGTCAGGGAAGTGGCTAGCGGTTCTCTCTCTCTCTCTCTCTCTCTCTCTCTCTCTCTCTCTCTCTCTCCAGTAGAGAGGTTAGAATAAGTTGGTGCCAACTTTTTCTGTAGTATATATATTTTAGCAGGGGAACCCTCCCCAAAAAAGGGGTAAAAGGGCACTACTGGGGGACCTAGTCTCTCTCTCTCTCTCTCTCTCCCTCTCTCTCGCGCGTCAAACATTGCCACTATCGCAGGGAAGTGGTTAGTAGCCTGGGGCGCAGGTAAGTTGATAGTAACTTTGGGAACAACTGAAACGAGACTTATTTCACCATGGCTTTGGTGGGTTATTTCACCATGGTTGCTAACCACTTACCCGACGTACGGTGCCCCTTTAAGTATCCCCATTTTGGTGGCTTTTAGCGTCCCACCAATCTGAATCCCCACCCCAAAGCAGATGTCCACCAAGGTAGATGGTTTGGTTTGGTGGTTTGGACCATATTCCCATTTGGTGTCAGAAGGAACTGGAGTCAACTCACAACTCCCGGATCCAAACCAAATGGGGCACCCGGGCAAGGGGCCGGGACAAGCAAACCAAAAGCACCCTGGGAAAACTGAGGGAACAACGTGAGGTAGACGAAGATACAGACCCAAACACCTGAAGGAGCGTAAGGGTGGTGCTGATAGAATACCCCAGCACGGGGAACCGAGATGATCTCACCCTGGCGCCGCGTGATGTTGTGTTGCGGGTGCGTTCCGCTTGGGCCTTCTGGTTTCACATTGAAGCAAGCGCTATTTGCATGCTTGACTGCATCAATTTGCACTCAGCAAAGCATTTTGCTTAGCTCCTTTTTGGCTGCAAAACGGCCCTAACATGAAGAGAGGTCCGAAAATGCGCAGTGGTAAGAACATTCTTTGAAAGGGACCCTTGATTCGGCCCACTTGGAAATACTTGATGTTTGCCTACAAGTGTTTTCAGGGGAAGTCGGGTGCCTCAAAAATGCAAATTGGCCCTGTGACCCTCGATTCGTCTGTTTGCCTACAGGTGGTTTGGGGTGCTTGGTTTGCCAAAATGCAAACATGGTACATACATAATCAGCAACTCCCACTCACCATAAAGCAAAGCCCGAAACCACTCGTAGGCATTCTTTCCGGCCAAATGGGGCGGAAAAGCTGCAAAACAAAAACGCCCAAAAAGACATTTTGGCAAGCCGAGGACCCCAAACCAACCAAGGGCCCAGGGCACATTTGCCAAACCACTTGCAAGCAAACATTCTCCTGATCACCTAAGCATGCCCACTGCAACAGCCATCTTTGCAGCTATGCTACCTGCCACTATCTTGCTTCAAGCAGCCCAGTGCTACCCAAACAACTTGCAATTGCATTTTGCAGCGCCTGAAAAAAGTGGTTCGGCCCAAGCAGCATCATACAACAACTAGTAGCGTTCTGTGAAACTGAAGTAGCGCTCTGGAACCAAAAGCGTTCTGGAAAACACGCGCTCTGGAGCTAAGCGAGTGATCCATCACCTACCGTCGTGGTGAACCTGCGGGGTTCCCTTAGAGGCAGATGAACAAAAAATTCAACGCGGCAGAGGTGCAAAGCCACCTTTTGTTCTGCGCTCAACGCTGTGGGTATGAGAGGGACGGGTTTTGTCCTGCAACTTGGTGGGCCTCCAGGTTAGAGGGCCCCAAGATGGTTGGTTTACTGTTCGCGTGGCTGGAGAAACACTGGCTATCGCCGGCTGCACTGGCGGTTTCTCTTGTGAGCTGGGTTATCTTTCTGGTCAATTTGGGTCCAGGACTTGGGAAACCAGACATGTGCCCTCACAACCAACCTGCAAAGGGTCCCCTACAAACAAGAAGCCATCCCCAAAGCAAGACCCCAGCCGCCAGCCCCCTCCGCGTTTTAAATGGTGAGCTTCACTTTTCACTTCCCTCACTTTCCAAAGGTGGCCTCTTGCTCTTGGAGGGTTGCACGTGGGATGCATCAGTGACATCGCCAAGTCGCAAAGGGCCATTGAGAAGCCACTATCTCCTGCTGATTTCCCGAACTGATAACAGGAAAGCATGATTCTGCAGCGGAACCGGGAACGAGCAACGAATTCCCCTTTGAGAAAGCAATATCCGGTGAAAGGTTTGAACCCAAGCCCGCGCACTAGTAAGCGCACTCGCTCACCTTCGTTCGATACAACCGACATCTTTCGTATTGAATCTAAAGATGTAGTCATCATGGTTGCCTCATTGTTTAAACTAACCTAAGAAAAACAAACACCACAAAAAAAAAAAAAAAAAACATCTCCGCTCCTGGAGCTCCTGCTGCAGCTGCCGCATCTCCTGCTCCAAGTTTTGCTCCGCCACGCTCAGGCGGGCGCTGCGGCGCTGCTCGGCCCGCAGCTCCTCGCGGTCTGCGCGTCGCGCGCGTCGAACGAAGCCCCGGGGCATCTGAGGCCGAACTCCGAGACCGCACCACTGTGAAGCCAGGGGTACAAGGGCACTGGGGGACCTAGTTGCTGGTGCGATAGCTACTGGGGATGGTTGCGAAATCCATTTCGGACCGCACCACGAAATGAAACCATGGCCTTAACAGGGGAGCGATCATTGTTCCAGGGAATTGTATTGAGTATAATGAACAGGGAAACCTTTGGTTGGTTGGTATGTACGTTGGGGAATCGGATCATTCCATGGTTCTTAGGTGGTGCCAAATGCGAATCTTACTGCGGCCATCGTCCCTGGCTCGATGTGTGCTGTGAGGGATGCCAGGTGTTTGGCTTGGTCGCTGGAATTCGCCTCTAGGGCCGTGTCTCTGTCTGTCTGATCTGCCTGTCTTACGCCCTGCAAGGGACGTCGGGGCGATCAAAGTGGCGGTATGTGGCGGTACTCCTTTCGAGTTTCCTTTAAATCCGCTTAAACCTAATAGAAGCGACGAGTCCGAATGCTTGCGCGGTTGCAAATTCCTTTTCTTTTGGCTGGCGCGCAATCGTGGTTGTCCTTGCAACGTTTTCTTTGCGACAGCCTTTGCTAGCTGCAATTGCCTGCGTGCTCTGTTTGCAGGCTTGCTGCGCGTGCTCTTTGCATTCGTGTGCTTTACGACTTTACGGGATTTCCAGCAGCGTTGCTTCGCAAATTGCATTGCAACGCGCAAGGCGTATCAAAAGGATTTTTCCAAGTTACCTGAAGCAAACACGCCCAGCAACATCCTCAACACATCAAGCCCCCGCCCAAGACATTCTCCGAGGCATGTCCCAAGCACACCCCACCCAACAAAACTCAGAGACAGCCACCAAACACACCATTAACATTCATTGGCATCCTTAAAGGCACGCCGGAGACATGCCAAGGCCGACCCCCCGAAGTCGCTTGAAAAGACATCGCTCAAGACAACTGCCCTCACCCTCCAAAGGCAACCCACCGTCAGAGCAAAGACATCGCCCAAAGAAAACTGCAGACGTCCTGGAAAGCCCCCCAAAGACATCCCCACACAATCCCGGCGGAAGTTCCCTTAAATACCCTAACGCACCCCTAGAGACATCGTGCCAAGACAGCTTCATAAGACACCCCGCGGCACTGTCACCCAAAAAAACCAAGCGCATCCCAAAAAACACCTGCTAAGATACCGACCCTTGGCCCAAGACATAATCACCTTTCCCGAACCATCACACATGTCACCCAGACCTTATTCCCAAAGTGACACCCAAGGCATCTCAGCGAGGCATCCCGAAGACAACCTCTAAAGGCATCGCCAACACCAGCCAAAGACATGACCCGAGACAACCTCGACGACGTTCCCAATATCCTCAACACAGACACCAGTCGCCGAAACGACGCTTTCCAACCCCAAAGACATGAACCAAAGCAACTGCAAAGACCAAAGACTATCCCACTATCCTGGTTGGGCGTCTCGTTTTGAGGGTACCCCCTTTGGTCACTTTTAGCAGCGAACCCGCGAACCACTAAGGGAATAAGCCCAGGCACCATCCAGCAGCAACCCACAACCATTTTCAGCCCAAAGCTCTGTAGCCCATAGCCGCTCTCCGAAGCCTATCTGGGCGTATCGACCCAAAGCGTTCGGCTGGAATTTTGGAAAGACCACACGGCCCAGGTCCGTCCCCATTAGGTTAGGTTTGCCTCAAGCAATTCCAAGCAGCAAAATGCTCTTCTCCGCATTTCTCATATTATTTGTTTTTTATTGTTAGCAGCTTGCTCATATTTTTGTGTTGTTTAGTGGCTCGGACATCAAGTTGATGGGGATTCATGTCCGCCAGCCACTTTTCAACTCTTAAACTTCAGTCCGCCAACTAGCATGGCCTTTTTCGCGTCCCTACCGGGAATGATGGAAAAAATGCCACCCCCACAAGTGGTTCAACGGAGTTTCCTGAGGTTTTCCGTGGCTCGCCCTTCCCGTGGGTCACGGGTTTCCCGAAGGGCCCTCGGGTTTCGCGAAAACGCCCACGGTTTAACCCACGACTGCCCAGGCTTCCGCAAGTTCCCAAGGCTCCAGATCTTGATTGCTGCAAGGACCCCCCTGCAACAAGTTCAACTTTTTGGGGGTTTAGTGGAAAACCCCAACCAAAAAGTTAAAGTCTAACGATCCGTTACCCAATAGCAGTCAAGAAGAGTAACCACACTGGTTGATTACCACACAAACGGTCTTCCGAAAAAGTTCAAAGTCCAGAAACTCAGGAAGTGAGGGGACCTTTGTGGGTCTACCTACACCGAATTGGCCATGGGTCAAAATCCAAATCGTACCCCCAGTGAACATCCCAAGCCCAACTAAAATAAGTTAACTTGATCCCAAAACGGTGTTGACAACCACAGCCAATTCCCCAACGTTGCAACGTCCTGGGCCGTGCAACAAGAAGTTTGGATCAAGCCCCTGAAGGGAGTGAGCACCAGACATGAGCTGTGTTTTCTCCCCGCGAGGGGGGGGGGTGGGGGGTCCCGGATTCCATTGATGCGATGGGATTCCAACTCAGGAGATGACTTCTGAGCTCCTTCCGCACCTCCGAGGCGAGCGCCGCCTCCGCTTGCAACTCCGACTCCGCCATCTGTGAGAGCTCCTCTCGCGAAGGACTCAACCGACCCCGGTGGCACATGCAGATATGCATATACATATATATATATATATACATAACGTTTATGTGCTTGTGCATCACGTGTTTAAAGGAAAGATGTGAATATGCACATTCATACATATGTTTATGCAAGATGTTCTGAATGTATACATGTGTAGATCATGCAGCAGCTTGCCCAAAAAAAAAACAGCCCCAAAAAATGGATCGCCAAGGTGAGCTCGTTTTGTCTAAGCGACACCGGTGCTCGGCTTGCCTCTGTTTTGCGGTTTGGTGGGTGGTTTGGTAGGGTCAATTGACCCTCCACAAGAACCAGGGGCTCAAATCCATATCCAAACCACCAATCCAAACCACCAAGTAAAGGACACCTGAGGTGCTGTCTCTCATCCAAAAACGCGTTTGCCATTGGCAAACCCTTTAAGACAACAGGAAGGTACCCACACCGACAGCCCTTGAAGAGGAGGAAGGCCTTGGCACACGTGGGACACGCTCCCAAATCCAGTTTGGTTCTCCTGTACGAAAAGAAATAGGGTGACCTCAAAAAGGAAAAACCTGGAAAATGGAAACATGGGCCAAAACCTGCGATCCCCTGGTGGTTTGATTTTGACCCATAACCCATATCCAAGGAGGGAATCGGCGAAGCCATTCCCCCCGTTGCTTTGTTGCTTCACGGGGAAATTGGGTTGCCACAAATGGAGATCTCCAGTCGAAATTCCCCCTCCCCCAATCAAGCATTCTGAAGTTAAGGGATCCGGTGGGCAGATCAACTTTTTTCAGCGATTCCGCCAGGGACTTCGGCTAAGAGCCGCTCCTGCGCAGCCGTTGCCATTTGCGCGGCCTCGGCCGTCCTCAGATCCATCTCCAGGGTGGAAGTCTCAGCGTGAGCTGCTTGCGAACTCAGCTCCTCGAGACCCGAGTGAAGTCAACCCAAGGAAACTGGGTAGGGCGCATGTCCTTCCCAAACCATACCGCTACTGTTGTCCGCTGCTCGTATGGGTCTGTGTTTTTATCAAACATCTGAAAGCTATGAGGCCTCTGCACAAGCTCCGGTCTGCGGATGAAACCGCTTGGACTAGGGGAGTAATGACCGCCGTGAATCCGACCCCTTCTTCAAGGAAACACCCCCTACTCCTGCAGCACGAGAACACTCACGAAATACAAATACTAGGTCCTCCAATAGAGAGGCTAGAATAAGGGTACCCTTTTTTCTGTAGTCTACTTTAGGAGGGCAATCCTCCCCCAAAAAAGAAACGGTAAAAGGGCACGACTGGGGGACCTAGAATAGCAATAAACCAATCCAACTGGAACTGCCGCCTGGCAGGCCGCTCTTAGAATTTGCGCGCTCACACAGACGCAGCGAACGCGATTCGCGCGACGCCTGCGGGTCAGGCAGCTTGCGTGGAAAGGGCGGGTTGCCAGGTAGCGTCTCCATCCGTAAAACCAGCAACACTTCAGCCTGTCACACTGAATGCACGCCATACACATCATACTTCCCGGCCTTAGGAAGCCTCTGCAACTCGAAATGCGACCACGGCCTGAAATGGACGTCACGTTATCTGCATGAGTTCTGGGTGAATTGTAATGTTTCACCAGCCTGAAACTTGCGGTGGTTCGGGTGCCATTCCTCACATAAACCACCATTTGGGGTGAATTCGGTGCGAGGTCGTTATAATTCACCCAGGTAGTTGGCTTTGCTCGTGCCCGATTCTCCAACTCTTTACTCGTCAGTGCGAACAAAAACACTTGCGCATGTGTGCATGTGTGTGTGTGTCAAAACCAAGACAGGTGCGCAACACGGAGTGGACAAAAGGATGCAAAGAAACCCCCATCCGGGCGCCAACTTGCCAGAGGCTGTCAAATGGGCCTGAAATCACGCCTGAGGTGACTCAAGATTAAAAAAAAAAGAAAGAAAGAGAGAACACCTTGGACAGCAACAAACCAGGTCCTTGTCGTGGTGTATGCGGTGTAGATGTTCTTTTTCTTGGGGGAAATCAAACTGACGGCCGGACTCTTTTGCACCCACCCACGTTTTTTTTCGTTTGTCACGGCTGTCCTGCTGCACCGTCTCCACTTCCGCCTCGGACTCCCTCAGCCTCAACTCCATCTCCGAGGTCTCGGAGAAGGCGGCGGTGTAGTGCGAACTCAGCTCCTGAGTCGAACAGCTTCTTGGCATAAAGTTGCAAATACTTACCATGTTTTTGTGCTCTCTCGGTCCCTCGTGCTCCTTCTTTTGTGTTGATTTTGCCTTTTTGCACTCCTTTTGCTTGTCTTCCTTTTGTTGCTGCTTTTTTTCCTGTTTGTTTGTCTATGGTTTTTCTTTTTTTCCGCCTCTTTCCTCTCGGTTCTTTTTGCTCTTTCTTTACCGATGTTGTTATTTCCTTCCTTCTTATTGTCCTTATTGCTTTCTTTCCCTCTCTCTCTCTCTCTCCCTTTCCCTTTCGTTTTTTAGTGGCTTTGTTTCTTGCTTCATTTCGAGTTCCGCCTGTCCCTCTTTGTTGGGTCCTTCCCTCTCACTCTCTCAGAGTCACTGTTTTCTTAAAGCACCCAAGCCAGTTTCTGCCTTTGGCTCTGCTGGGCCGCACGCTACCAACATAGAGTCCCACTTCTCACTTTCGGACAACCACTCCAAACAGCAGTGTTCTGTTTTTTTGAAGGGAAACGCCCCCAACATACAAATCCATGGTGGCGTCCCTTGTGTGTCGCTCTACAAGCCACAAGAAAAGGGCTCAAGAAAAGACACACCCAAACTGCTTGCTCGCTAGTTGACATGATCTTCACCACGTGTAGTGAAACTCGGGGAGCGCGACTTGTTCCATTGGGACTTGGCTGGCACGGACAAAGAAGAACCAAAGTGCAAAGGAAGCACAGCGTGACAAAGGAAGCACCCTCACTTCCTGAGCCCACTGGCCCAAAAGCAGTAACCACACTTTTTGTTTATCACACAAACGGTCCCAAAAAGTTCAAAGTCCAGGAACTCAGGAAGTCAGGGGACCTTTGTGGGTCTACCTACACCGAATTGGCCATGGGTCAAAATCCAAATCGCACCCCCAGTGAACATCCCAATTTCCACTAAAATATAGCCTAAGATGGGTGGTGGATTCACCTACCCCCAAATGGGATCCCAAAACGGTTTTGACCACAGCCAATTCCCACACCGGTGTAAGCAAAAGTGAGGATCAAGTCCGTGAAGGGAGTAAGCACCAGACATGAGCTGTGTTTTCTCTTCGCCATGAGGGGGATTTTGGCTGGGGGGTCTCAGTTCCATTTCTCGAGTCTTCCCCCTAAAAGGGAAAAAGCCACCAGAAATGGAGATTTTCAGGGTCACCCCCCTCTCCCAATTCCATTTTTGAGGAGGTGGGGATGTTGTTTCTGGGGCCTGTTGCGACCCGTGGGGCGTCGAATCGGAGGAGCGCCTGACTTCCATTGGCTTGAGCCCGAAAAAGAACATGAACATATGTGCAGTGGTATCTTTTTAGAGCCAAGAGGGGAAAACGAAAACCATCTTAAGCAGAGTAAATGGAAGTTGGCCCCTTGTTTGATTGGTTGATTACATTTGTCTCTTTGGTTGGAATCATTCCATTCTGGGAGAATCCAGCACAAAGGCCTTCGAGGATGTGCGCGAACTGGTGAGTCGGGTGTCCTTGTGCGCAGCCATCGCCACCTGCGCTTCCTCTGCCTCTGCCCTCAGCTCCGACTCCATGGCTGCGGTCTCAGCCAAGGCTGCAGCGCATCGCGAACTGAGCTCCTGGGGTCAACGCAGCCGGCTTCGTAAGTGGATGGTGGTCAGTAAGCCTCATAACCTCCTTGGGTTATGATCAAAGCCTGGTATTAAAAAGCCTGGTTGTAACCCAGCAGAAGGTTTGAAAGTCCTGAAGTCCAACCCCAGCCCACCCAAACTGCCAAACCCACCAGGCGTAGAAGAAAAGCCCATGTCAATTTGTTTTCAGCGAGATGGAGAAACCCGAAAAAATCCCCCGGTTTTCCGCCCGAAACTTGAGCCAAAATGAAAACCTCAAGAAAACATATTGCAAATTGGCAACCCACAGTTTTTGTTCACCCTCAAATGTCTTTTTGTTGTCTTGTTTTTGCTGTCCTATGTTTTGTTTCTTGCCTCGTGGGTCTTGAGAATCCCCAAACGTGGTTTTGCGCACTCAGAGCCCGTGGAACACCCGCGGCTGAAGCCGGGCAAGCCGGGCAAGCCTTGGCCAGGACAGCTCGTTTTTTGTTGGTTCCTCTAGGTCATGACCCATTTCGAGTCCTAAATTCGGGGGGCTGGCAGACTTTAAAAAGGGAATCAAACGAAAACAAACAGGAGCAGGGTCGTTGGAGTCAGGGATTGGCTCCACTCCTGGGATGTCAGGGAAGCTCCCCCCGGGAAATCAACTGAACTTGCCCTTCCAGGAGAATATTTTCGGGCGCGTCTTCTTTGGCGGAACCCTGGTTTGGCTGGTTAAAACCTAAATTCAAAGAGAAACCCAAAGGAAACCACAATTTGTTGGGCCCCCTCAAAAAGACACGACCAAGCTGTTTCCCCTGTGCTTCCCTAGAAAGAATTGGGACCAAACATTGAGGGGACCCCACCAAAGGCTGGGTCTATGAAAGTGACATCCTGAACACTACCCTCTGTTCAAGGGACATGTTCACCCCGCAAAAGACCCCAACGTAATTTTGAGATCTGTTCAACATGGTAGTGTCTTTTTTTAGGGGACTCCTCAAAACTTTAGGTGTTCCTTTTGGTTCCCCTTTAAACACCACCAACAAACAAGTACCAACCCAACAGATGAGGACATTCATTCTCTCACTTCCTGAGTGGATGGGCAAAAAAGCAAGGTCCAAACTTTATATAAAAGGGTCCAAAGCCCAAAAAACAAGTGGTCTTCCCACCAAAAAGTGCCTCACGTCCAATTTCCAGGACGGCGCTTTTTGAGGGACCCCCAACTCGCCAGTCGCTCGCCTCCAGCTCCGCCTGCGCGGATTCCGCGCTCTCCGCCGCCCGCGCCGCCAGGGCCTCTTCCAGTTCCGCGGCCTCGTCCGCGGCCGCGGCTTCCAGGAGCAGCGTGCCTGGCGGGCAAAACGCCCACCCAAGAGACCATGGGCGGTGTTCTTGGGCGGCGTTTTTCCTGTAAACCTGGTTGTGTGCACCACCCCAAAGGAATGATCCTCCAACGTAAGTACCAACCAACCTTATGGTTTCAACCTTTTTTTCCAAGTGGTGCGAAATGGATTTCGTCCACAGTAGTGAACGGGACCCAATGCCCGCTGAAATGGTCCCGAAATGGGTGGTGAATTGGACCCCAAAATGGCACCATTGGTTTTGGCCCACGGCCATATTGACATGGCCCGGGGGCGTGTGAAACTCAGGAGGGAAACTAAGACTTCACAACTCAAAGGGTGTGGGCTTGACAAGAACTGTGAAGCTAACCTCAAAAGAGGGAAGTCACACCATTGATTTGGGGCAGTATCCAAACTACCTGAATGTCCAGGTGCTAAAGGGGCCTGAACCACTAGAATGGGGGGGCGGGGCACTGTAAACCAACAATGTGTGTACCTTCTTAGCCCCTGATAACCGCTCGTTTCCTGGTTAATTACCTATTGCTACAGGGTTTAATTTCTTGGACAGGCACCACCGGAACCTTTTGGCAACCCCTCTCACGCCAATTGCTTCAATTCTAGTGCCCGTCGCTTTGTTGGCTCATGCTTTTCTCCAACGAAATGCCAAACATTAACGCAAACGTGGAGAACCCCCCAAACAAAAGTCGTCCTTACACCTCACTCCAGCGGGTTGGTTAGAACAAGTTATAATTTCGACCAATTATTTGGTCTGTCCAAAAGTGCAAAGTTGCGAAACCTGGCAAGTCAGAAAAAAAGACCAGGGTCGGTGTATTTCCCCTCCAAAAGTTGCAATTTACTGGTGGTTGTGCTTCACTCCTGGAGGCTTCAAAAAGGGAATTGGAGGAAACCATGAAAACTGACACCCGGAACGGCCTTGCCACGTAAGCACACCGAGATGTTTGTTTCAACAAATCGGGTCTGCCAAGGGCATGCTTGGTGGCTGCAAATAGGCTAGGATGGGATGCTTAAGCCCGTTTGACACCAATGAAACAATGTAGTGGGCCAATGCCTGTGCGATGAATTGCCATGATGCATCCCCAAGCAAGCAATGCTTAAGCAAGGAACCGTCTCTGTCGAAAGAGCTCGCTTGCCCTCAGGCTCGCTGCGATAAAACAAATGCACAATTTCGCGAGCACTGCTACCCACACAACCCAATATGGGGAAACCCAACGCAGTAGAGAAAGCTCACGTGCCGGCAACATTTCTGCCACCCCGAAACAAATTGTTTCGGGTACTTTTGAAGGCCGAAACGCGTGACTCACAAACGCCAAGGTGCTATGCAGCTGGTCCCTGGTTGGTGCCTTCGCCAACTCCTGGCGAGAAATCTGCCCACCACCCTGGGTCCTCGATATACTGCACCTTAAAACATCGCCAAGGGAAACTCACGGTAGGGGGGTGGGAAGGCGACAGTTGGCCAAATCCATCCCGCCAAGGGGGGCCCTGGCTCGGTTTGAGAACTGTTTGGAGCTGTGCAGGGCTCAGGTCCAACCGTCTCCAGCGAGTCGCCCAAGGGCCGGCGCTCGGCCCTTTGAAGGCCACGAACACATCCAAAGGCGAAGCACTGGGCCTCTGGGCATCCGAAGCTCCGCCGAGCTAAGAGCGAGCTTCCCTTTTTGGGCGATCCCGCGGGAATCACAGCCCCGATGTTGGATGGTCGGTTGAAAGACCTTCATTTTTTGGCACGGTAGCTGAGACCTTCTGGTGGAGATACGCGGGTTCCACGGATCAATGGCTTGCGATTGATCTGTATCTACATCTCTTATAGAGAAACAAACTGATTCACGTCAAACCTGACGTTCGGAGGGGGGGTCCTGGTTTGGATCATGTTCCTTTTAAGACCATATGCTTTACCTGGGCGATAGAAATACATAAATGCATATGCATTGCTGCATTAAATTACATACTGTGGGTGGACGAAATCCAATTCGCACCAATTTGAAACCATGAAAAGCCATTGCTTGTTGGTCTTTACAGGCGAATCATCAGGTGGTGCAGGTATCTGTCTGCTCCATACACACAAAGGTGCACAATAAGCCTCACCGTACATTTCTATCTCTATATTAATGCACATATAGGTACACACACACACATCTATATGTGTGTATGTATGTATGCATAAAATATGTATGTACTTATGCACGCATATATGTACATATATACAAGGTCCCCCAGTAGAGAGGCTAGAATAAGGGTATCCTTTTTCCGTGTAGTCCATTTTAGTAGGGGAACCCTGCCCACAAAAAAAAGGTGAGAAAGGGCGCCTAGCTGGAAGACCTAGTGTGAAAATGTATAAATATAAACATACATGTATATATATATATACTTATTTATGTACGTGTGTGCACACCCTTCTTGGCACGGCAGGTTCGTGAATCTCTCCTCGCGGAGGCGGTTGAGGCGCTGCTCCGCCACCATGCGGCCGCCGCGGAGGCGGGCCACCAAGGTCTCGGCGCGGCAGAGCTGGGCGCGGAGGAAGAGCTCGGAGCCCTTGGAGTCCTGCGAAGTGGGGGGAGGAGGTGAGTGGGGGGTGGGGGGAGGGAGGGGTGGGTGGGGGGAAGGGGGGGAGAGGGGGAGAGGGGAGAGGGAGGGGGAGAGGGGAGAGGGGGAGGGAGAGGGGGAGAGGGGGGGGAGAGGTGGGAAGGGGGAGAGGGGGGGGAGAGGGGGGAAGGGGGAGAGGGGGGGGAGAGGGGTAACAGGGTGACTGGGTGACTGACGTGGCACTGGTCAACGGTTCTTGGACAGTTGGCTGCAGGTGGGGAGGGGTGGGTGCGGGGCCAGGGGAGGGGTGGTTGGGGGGAGGGAGGTGGTTGGGGGGAGGGAGGTGGGTGGGGGGGAGAGGGGTGAGGGGGGAGGTGAGTGTGTTGGGGCTTTTGGGGGAGGGGGGGGGGGAGGGTATGGTGGATACTTGGGACGGTGGAGTGGGTGCGGTGGGATGGTGGGTAGGGGTGGAAGATGGTGCGCACAGATTTACCCACAAAAAGAGACACTGGCAAAGGGGGGGTTTGGTTGGGGTGGTTGGGGTGGCTTGCAGCGAAAACCTACCAAGGTTGGAAAAAAAGGCAAACGGGTGCCAAAGGATTTAACTTGTGGCTCGGACAATAAGTGAAGCCCAACCCCTAAGAGCAGTTTTGAGAACCCCTACGGCTCACATTGATAAGCCCATATGAGGGAAGCTGTTTTTGCCACGTGTTTCCAAGAAAAATCAAAGGGACTGTTTTAAGACACTATGGGAGCTTCTGAAAATGGTGGACCCCTTTTGGTTGAACTTTCCAAACGAAATTGAAAGGAAGAACGTATCTTAGGGGAAATTTATTTTGAGAAACACCCATTATATGGGTATTGATTGACCCGTTTGGTTGGCATTTCAAGGGAAACCTTTCAAAAGGAAACCACGCATTTTAGGGGACCCCGATGTTGATTGGGCCACTTTGGCGCCTGCTGCGAGGAATCGATGGCTTTTTCCGTGGCGCCCCGCAGCAACTCCAGCGCCGCCTGGTTCAATGGGGTTATCGATGAAGGGTACGTCGTAAGTGATTCGTAAGCCTGGTGAAATGACCCACTGAACGGAGGCTTAGAACCCATGTGCGCATGGGTCAAAAGTGACTTTAGTCCTTGTTTCCCTTTACAAGGGCTTCATTTTGGGTACCTATTTTTCACCCACAGCCATGTAGGCTTGTAACTCGTGTCTCTTGTGTGCTATAACAAGGCTCACTAACCACTTACTAAGCACCCTGCCCCTTCCAGTAGAATCAGCTTCCCCTTATTGGGAGGTGGTGGTTAGAAGTGGAGGTTGGGCGGTTTCCCGTCCCTTAAAAGAACAAAATGTTCAAGTCACACACCGCTAAACCACACCACCGACAAAAGGATACCCATGTAAAGTCTGGAGGTAATACCTACAACAAACACCAACTACTTTCGGACAAGGGGCCGCCAGGATGACACTAGACTGATGAGTATCAGCCAGTTGTGCGTGTCTTCCTTTGGGGGGAGGGGAGGGGGGTTCGCCACTTGTGACCTGGGAGAAAAAGCCACGCCAGTTCACGTTACCCGTTTAATTTTTCCCTCCCCATCCTTTTCAAAGTGGCCACCATGCCACTAAACCCTTCCGATTTGGCCGAAGGAAAACCAAGCTGATTGAACAAGTCTCACATAGCTCCGCACTTCTTGAATGCGCAAAAACTTCGAAGCCAGTGGGCTAAGCAATACGTGGTGCTATGAACTCAGATCTAGAGCTTTGACTTTTATCCGTTTGGGATCACGCAAAATGGAATCAGCTGGCCGGACGGTATCTTGCTGCGTCACCCGCCCCAGATTCTGAAGTGTTTGCACATTGTGCTTGGGTTCACAATGTTGGTACTTCTGGGTACTTCTGGGTACTCACCTATCAAATGTTTCCGGCTGCATTCAGCGGGCCGTCACGGCAAATGAGCAACACTCATGCGACTGCACAACTAGTCGTTGCACTTTTTAGGCAGGGGGTAGTATCAACCAGGGTTTCAACAACAGGGTTTGCTGAGTTTGGTCAAAGGCGTTTCATACTTTGCTAGCATCAAACGATGCTTTAATCACTAGCGCCCTGTTTTGGAGGGGTAAGTCCCCCTTTGAAGGGCGGACATTGTCAGGTTCACATGGAACCCCGTGCCACGAACCCAGCTCCCTATGTATTTCCCCTTTAAATTTGCCCCTTAACCGACGGCCAAAATAGTTGACCCCTGTCGAAATGGAGCCCCTTGGAGAACTCAGCGAGGTAAGCCAATGGTCCAGCGAATAAAATCACTCATGAATTCCCTGAGACCCTGCAAGAATCCAAAGAAACCATCCCTTTAAAAGTCACTGGATTTCAAATGTCTCCTTCGAAAGCTGCAGCTTGCACAAGTTGCAGCTTGCCGAGTTCCACTCAATCTGCTTTGGGAGGCTCCAAGCAGGGAAACGGAGGAAACCAAACGCATGCAGGGAATGAGGGAATGACATTGTGGTCACAATCCCTTGTGGTTTCCTTTAAAGATACCTCTGGACTCATTCAAGAACCTCAAGAATCCCCCCCCCCCCCCCGGTTTTCTTGGCCAGCTCCGCTTGGCCCTCCGCACCTCCAGCGCTGCCAGCTCCGCCGAGGCCCGGCTCTGAATGCTGGCGTTGGCGTTGGCCACGTGAGCGGCCCGCCGGGGGGAGGCTCGTGGGGAAGCCGACCTGACGTCCCAGACTTCTCGCGGGGCGTTGCTCGTTTCTTTTCGGCCCTGCTGTATGTTGCGGGGCGCTGCGTTTGGCTCGTTTTTTGGCAGTATGTTGGATGGATTTTCTGAAGCTGAGCTGCAGCACAGCCGCGAATAAGCGCGGATTTTTTCATGGGTCATCATGGGTCGTTGATGAGTCTACAGCTCTTTGCGTGAGATTGTCTCCCCGTGTGCTGTTGTCAAAGAGACATCCAAATCGGATGTACCTGGATCGCCGGTTGCTGTCTTTTTCCATGCACTTTACCAAAAACCAGCAACAGGGACTGAAAAAAAAAGATGGCAACTTGGCTATCTAGGTACGTATTGCTTAGCCAACCGGCTTTGAAGTTTCTGCGCATTCAAAAAGTGAAGAGGTATGTGAGACTTGTTCAATCAGCTTGGCTATCTAGGTTAAAAAAAAAAGAGTATCCAGTCCGGATGGACAATGGCCAGCTGCCCGCCCGCCCTGAGCCCACGCCTGGCACGCCTCCCGCGCGAATTGGTCGCCGCCGCGGCCAGTTCCACGTGGCAGCGGAGATCAATCAGCTCCTCGGGGATCTGTAGATCGGTAGGAAGTGGTTGCTAGGTCTTTTGCCTTTGCGATAGCGCACAGTGTCTGTTCGACGCAGCGATTTATTGGGGGGGAGGGGGAAAAAGGAGAAGGCCCCAAAAAACAAACAAGTCAGTGTGTCTGTACAAGCACCGTTGCTAGGTCCTCCAGATTTGAGAGGGTAGAGTGTTTTGATTTTCAGTTTTGTCTATTTTAGTAGGGGAACCCGATGTTTTTTGTCTATTTGTTGTCTGTACTCTATGTTAGTCTATTTTTTGGTCTACCCTCCAAAAAAGGGTAAAAGGGAGACCCAGGTTGGCAACCATGGTGAATAACCCACTGAACGGAGACTTAAGTGTTGCTTTTGTGGGGTATTTGACTATGGTTGCTGACCATTTGCTAAGTACAATGCCCCAATTTAAGTGGGTCTTGTTTTGGGGTGGTGAAAAAGGGACATGAAAAGGAAAACCGCCAACTTCCAGGGTCCTCAGTTGTGTGAAAACTCCACGTGTCCCCGAACAAATTGAAACATCACTGTCGTCAAAACAATGGCCTCCCCGGGCCCTTGCAGCCCATTTGAGTCACCTGCTCAAAACCCGGTACTAAAATGGCCTACCCAGAACCATATAAAGAATTAAGAAGGCAGAATTCCACAATTATTTCTGGCTGGGACTGTCCCTTGCTAACCTTCACCCGGGTTTCGAGGGAAGTGAAGTGTTCGAAGGTCGCAGGCCAACCCAGTTGCACCATGCCGCGGTGGAACTCAACCATCCGCTTGCGTTCGCGGCCCCTTGGCAAAATGAGGAAATATGTCCAGTAGTGATAGGTTCCCGTAAAACCGACAGGGGGGGAAATATAAATCACTCCTAGGTTTTCCGGTAGAGAGGTTAGAATAAGAGTACCCTTTCTTCTGTAGTCTATTTTAGTAGGGGAACCCTCCCAACCAAAAAAGGGGTGAGAAAGGGCACTACTGGGGGACCTAGACTCCGAAGCAAATGAACTAATGTGGCTGTTCCAAGTGGAGGGGTGGCTTAAAGCCCCCTAAGCCACCACGACAAAGAGGACTTCCCCCATCAAAGAAAGTCACATCTTTTTGACAGTTCACCTCAATTGGTCACCTTACTTCCCAGCAGACCTGGAAATAAAAGGCTAATTCACCTTTGGGACGAAAAATATTTCAGCTTTGGGCAAGTGAGATCAGTATTCAGGTGAGTCCATTTTTCCCTTGCAGGGTTCCCTTCAAAAAACCCAGCAATACGGGGTCCAGGTAGATCGGCAGTGTGATTAAGCCGCCAAGTTGATTCTCGACCATTCAACGATTGAGCACCCATGTGAGCATAGGTGTCCTTTTTGGGAAAATAGATGGCCCTGGTAGTTGATTGAGCCACCAGGTAAACCAGGAATCGCCCTCGATTTTCCACCAAAAAGGACACCTACGGTGGTGAGCTAACCCACAAAAGCCATGGTTATAAGTCCCCGTTCAGTGAATTACTTCACCCTAAGCATGGTGAGTCCATGATAAAACGACCTATTTTGATCCACCTGCCCACGGACGCTCTCCGCGCGTCCTGGGCCAGCTGCGCTTCTGAGCTCAGCAGCGCCTGCCGGCCCGCGCGCTCCTCCGCCAGCTCCGCCTGCAGAAGCTGCAGCTGCTGCTGGCCTCAGACAGCGTCACAGTGCTCTAAGCGCCAGCGAAGGGAGAAAAAGGGGACATGCCTCAACATCTGCACTTGATAAAATTTCAGACACCCCCCCTGCGAAACCTATGTTTGAAGGAGAACCCCGAAAAAAAGCCAAGAAACATCGTTTGCAAAACATATGTCTGAAAGCAAATCCCAGGAAAACGCCGACAGAAGTCGTGGTTTTCCGGTTGGTTTCCTTCACGCTTCAGCGCGTTGCCCCCCCTCTCTCTGCCGAAGGTGCGGGCATGGGTCTGGCTGGCGTGCGCCCGAAGCTCCAGGAGCTCCTCGCTGAGGCTGGCCTGCACCTGAGCGAGATGCCAAAGACCTTGGTTGCTGCAATGACTCCCCTGCAAAAAATGTTCCACTTTTGGGGGGTTTAGTGTTGAAAACCCCAAAAGCTTTCAACCAAAAAGTTAAAGTCTAAAGATCCAACCCAATAGCAGTCAAGACACCCTCCCTTCCATGGACGCCCAAGGCTTGGTTGACGTTGGAAGGGGAGCAACAATTTCAGACTTTAGCAGTTAAGTGGGGATTGCAACCAGTAAACCACAATAAGCAAAAATGTGAACTGTTTCCCAACAACAACCATGAAGGGGGGGGAGGGGGGACTATCCCAGGAATTAACCCCTTCTTAACTTAGATGGTCTGGGAGGAATCGCTCAATGGCGAGCTTTGCAGCTTGGACTTGCACCAATTGTTTGGGCTACCAGGGCAAAGCGAATCTCCATTTTGCGATTCCGACCGGCGAAGTAGCCCTCCCTTCCACTAACTAACATGAGGCACCTGTGGGAGGGCACCCTGACAGGTGGGAGTGAGGGTCAATTACTCTTGGGCTTGGTTTTCTGCCAAAAAGATCTCGGGCTTCAAAACTGGAACTGGGCAATTTCTGTACTGTTGGTAGATAACGGGATCTTACTAAATTGCACTGTTTTCATGTTGGTAGATCTCATTTGGCTTCAACATGATATCTGCCAAAGAGCTGCGGAAACCAGCCACTAGCCACAACTTTAAAACCAACTAGAAATCACCACTCTTGTTGGGGATTTCTCTCACTATATTGAGAGAACCTTTGCGAAACGCGCGATTCACCACATTGGACACCTGCGTTTTGTTTCAATCAAGGGACCCTCATGGGTGAGCTCGGCGGCCGAATTGGTGAGTCGCCACGGACACGCCAAACACCCGAGGATGCAAGCTAGACCTGTCCGCCCATGTCCCTGTCCCGGTCCACAACCCTAAAAGCCCCTCTCAAGAGAGCCCAAACCGCAACACTTGCCCCCCCTCAAAAAAAGAGAGAAAAAAAAAAGCATAACAACCGAACCCAACCAATAACCCAACCCCCCCCCCCCTTTCCACCCCTCACACACCCAGCGCATGGGTCTCACCTTGGCCGCTGCCATGCGCTGCCCCGCCAGCAGCTTTCCAGCCTGGTCCTCCAGCTGGGCCTGGAGCTGGTAGATTTGGTCCACCAGCTCCTGCGGAGCCGGGTCCGGCTGATCCCTCTGTGTGCAGGGGTAACTTCCCCATTCTTTCTAGAAACAAAAGAAAAGCTAGGTCCTCCAATGTGAGAGGTTAGAATAAGTTGGTATCCACTGTTTTTTCAGTTTCGTCGATTTTAGTAGGGGAAGCCTCCCAACGAAAAAAAAGGGTGAGAAGGGGAGTACTGGGGGACCTAGCCTATGTGGGGATGCAGCTCAAACAGCACAAGCCACAGCTCCAAGTCCAAGGTGTTGAAAAGACCGGGCCCCAGAGAAAAGGACAAAAGAAAGACGGTTGGGGGCATCATCTGCGAATTCTACAATTCCAAAGCCTGAAAGAAGAATTGAGCGAAGGAATCGCTGGAATCGCTCGCCAAGTAGTCAGGAAAGACTGCAGCAGGTTCATTCTCAGGCATTGGATGTCCCTTGAAACGTTGATCAACCTACTGGATTCCATTGAAAGGATCGCTTCTGGGAGGCTCCCAGCATAATGTTACACCTCCTGTATTACTAGCTCCCTCCTAGGATTTTACCTAAAGAGCGTCCAGCTGAGTGCTTCCACTCCTAGCGAGGGGCGGTGGTGGTGTAAAGAGGGTCCAACATTACAATAAACGCCCTTGCAGAACTTCCGGCAGCTCCTAAAGGCTCCCTGCTGTGGATGGAGGCAATCCATTTCGCAGCACTTGGAAGCCAGGGGAAACCATAAGGTTTGTTGGTATTTGCGCCGGGGAATCGAATTAATTGCAACTTGAGTTTCTTGGGTGGCGCCTGAGAGGCGGACTTCGCAGCCATCCAACGTGTTTAACGGTATTTCAGAGCAAACTTGGATACCTCCAGCTCCGAGTGCGGCGCTCTTCCAACCACCTAACCGAATTGGAGAAGGTCTTTCATTTGATCTTTGACAGGGGCTCAGTTTTTTTTTCTTCAGGGGATGCTACCAATTGAACAGGGCTTCCTCCCTCCAATTCGGGGTTTCTTGTTGTTTGTTGTATGGTGATTCGATTCTCCTTTCAGGTTTTGGATTCTTTTTTTGGGGGCCACACTTCCATTTGCTGAAAGGAACATGCTTTTCTTGTTTTCCCTGTTGGCCTTAAGGGAATCGATTTCACTGGTGTTTTTTTCCCCCAGGGATGGGGCAGTCTGCACACAGGCATGCGCGCCCCAACTCGCGTTTCCATTCCTGGCATCCAGTGGTAAGAACCGTGGCAACTGTCGCAACGTCATGGCACAATGCATCGGGCAAGAGAAGAAGCGTGCCAGCTGGGAAAGATCCCAAGGAGAGGCTGCCGGAAGACACGGCAAGCTTAAAGGGGCGATCGGGCACTTAGTACTAACAAGTGGTTGGTGAGCCTGGTTATAACCCACACTTACACCTATGGGCTTTGTGGGTTATTTCACCAGGCTTACTATCCGACTAAGTACCCGGTCACCCTTTAAACACGGGTGCACTAGAGTGGGCGTGGCTGGGCTGGGGACTGCTGAGCTGAACCGGGGACACTTTTCCCCAACAAGGAAAACCATCCCCCTATAAACTTGGTTGCTGTTGACCCCTCTGCAAAAAGTTTAACTCTTTGCGGGTGTGGAAAACCCTTGATTTCACAAAAAGTAAAGTCTAAAGATCCAACCCAATAGCACACAAGTAAACCATGCCCTATCCATGCGCCATAGTTTGAGGGAATCCCCTTCCGGTTCATTCCCGAAACCCGCAAGGTCAAACCACTGAACACCAGCAAGAAAGCGATGAAAGCTGTCAATAACTTGCTGGTGCTCAGGGAATTTCGGAATGAACCCAGGCGTAAGGAATGGTTTATACGGGTCATTCCCTGCCCTTTCGCACCAGCAAAAGGATGAAAACAGGTTGCCGGAAAATGTTTCAATGTTTCCAACAGCTTCTTGCAAGTCCCAGTCATTCCATTTACTTGACATGGGAACTGCCCCATTGACCAAATATGGCTGTGGGTCAAAACCAATGGTACCATTTTGGGGCCCATTTTAGTCTATTTCAGTGGGGATTGGGACGTTCACTGGCCTTTCGGGATTTTGACCCATGGCCATTTGTAATTCTCCCCCTGCTGGTTTTAAATGGAATCTATCACTATTGGAACCCTGCTCGGTGTTCCAAAAGGGCTTTTCCCCAAAATGGTACCACAACGGTTTTGACCACCACAGCCATATGGTCAAAACCCCAACGCCCGCTCCCTGGCTCCTCCTTCTCCGCCTCCAGCTGCGCCACCCGCGCCAGCGCCAGCTTCCGGTTCCGCGCCTCCGCCGCCAGCTTGCGGCTGGCCTACGGGGCGTGTTTCGCTTCTTGTGACCCCTGGATACCAACAGAGCTTACAAAAAGATGAATTTCAAGGACCAACAGGGGGAAGAACGGAAGCGTTTTCTAGAAGACCTCGTCCCAATTGTGCGCCTTGAGGTCTGCGAGACGTCGCCTTCTCGTGGTTTGGAGCCCAGTGGTTTGGCGGTGGTTTCCCCTCCACAAAGAACCAGCAGTTCAAATCATCATTACGAGTTCTCCTGGCAAACAGTTCACTTTCGGCTGCTTCCAACCCTGGCAATGTGCCTCGACTCGTGCATGTGGACAGGAGGCCGTTCAAGATGTGTTCCCTCGCATGATTGCGGGACATTGGTTGAAAGGGGGACGTCTCAAAGCGTGAAGTGACTTGTTTTGGAGTCGCTACCATTTTGTGTGGGTCCCAATGGTGGCAGAATGGTGTGCTCACTTTTTGCGTGGATCGCCTCAAGTAAAAAAGGCAACCAACTACCAGACCCAAAATGGCCCGTTCAGACCCAAAATGTGCCATTGTTCAGTCCCAGTTCCGGAACTGAGGCGCGCTGCTTGCGCCCGCATTTCAACCCGCAAAAACTCTCAGCTACCACTAAAATGGCCAACTCTCCCCAGTTCCGGAACTCAGGCGCCTGGAAAAAAAAACCTGGAAAACCTCCCCTCCCCGGAACGAAACCCGCCCGCCCGACCGGCTTGAGGGAGGCGCCTGGCGCTCCTCGGCAAGGCCCTCTTGGAGCTGGAGGACCTGGAAGCGGTCCGAAGCAAACTATTTTAGTAGGGGCACCGTCCCCCAAACTGATCTTCCTTTGGTCTCTTCTCTTCCTTCCCCCAGAAATGGGGAGTTCCATCCATCACTAGGGTCCTCCAGATTTGAGAGGCTAGAGCTTAGGCTACCCGATTTCTTTCAGCTTTGTCGATTTTAGGGGAGGTCTCCCAACCAAAAAAGAAACGGTGAGAAAGGGCACTACTGAAAGACCCAAAACAGCTGGGCTTAGCGAAACCACATTGCCTTAAGAGTTGCCTGCAGCTCCTAACCCCGAGGAAGCACAATTGGCAAATACTGTGGATGGTTACGAAATCCGTTTTACACCACTTTGAAACCATGGGAACCCATTTTTTGTTGGTATTTACAAGGGAATCATCATTTTAGGGTTTCTTGGCCGGTGCAGGATTTCGTCCATCCGCAGTAGGTTAAGTCGTGGTACATGAGGGTTGATCGACATTCCGTTCGCCAACATGACCATGGGAAACTTGTTCCATGTGGTTGAAATCGCATATCCTTTTTGGTGGTTTTCTCGATTGGTCATCCCAGGAAAAGTACCTTTTGATCAACCCCCACATGTTCAAAGGATTGGCCCAATCCTCGTGCAGCAACTCAGCTGGCAGCTACAGTAAGAGAGCGGATGGTTGGATTGGTCCCGACCTTGGGGGTAGGAGAAAATCATTTGGCTGTCAAAACTATGGGTTGCCCTGGTAAATGGAACCAAAGACTAAAACCTGCGGTCCAATTCCTGGTTTTATTTTGACACATACCCATTTAGATCTTTGCAACAATCGGAAACCAATGGACCTCCCTGGAGCCCTGCATTGGGGCTTGGCACGCAATTTTCGTAATTTATATATCTATTCATGTCCATGGTTAAAACAAAAAACATCAACTTCCAATTGAAAGATGTACTACTGAACAATTGCAAAATTAACTTTCATTTAACATATTCAACGTTTATAAACTTTAGTGCCGTTCCATACAAACCTTAGAGAGGAAGGCATAACAAATCAAGATGCGCTGAGCGGGGGCACCTGGGGGCCAATCTGACCCTCCTGGAGCAACCTAGCTTGCAGCTTGCAACACCTTGGTGTCAAAAGGAGGTCTGCAGGAAAGAAAAAACAAGAACATGAACACCTCTTGAGGATTGAATGTGAACTGTCAGAAGGAACTCTGCAAGAAACGGGGACAAAGCTACATGAACACCCCTCACGCCTTAAGTCTGGTGGGGGGGGGGAATTCAATCATGCGTCGCATCCGGCACATTCCGGCCTCGTTGATTTCTTCTTGAAGCTCAAGCTGGAGTCGCCGAGATTGGACCTGACTGGCCTGCTGCTTGCTGGCCTGCGCTTTTTGAAGCTCGGCGCCTTGCTCTCTCCTGGCAGATGCGCAAATCTTCTGCTTTTTGGGTGCGTCTGTTTTTGAGGGTGCCCCCTTTTGGTCTGCTTTGAAGGGACACCAAAAGGATTTTTTGCGGGGCTCCCCTTTTAAAAAACATACCAACAATCAATGGTTTCCCATGGTCTCAAAGTGGTGCGAAATGGATTTAGTAACCATCCACAGTATTGATGTGGATTCTTAACTGACTCCAATGTACACTTCGCCCTTGAAGCTGCCGTGGAGTCTGTTCGGGAGCTTGCATGGAATCGCCTGGGGGAGGGTACCTGCCAACCAACCAATTCACGAAACTTTAAAAAAAAAGGCTACCAGCAAAAATATTGCAAGGTTTTGTGTTGGGACCATCCCCCAAAAGTGTGCTCAATCTGGGATTCCTTCCGTTCAAACATTCAACCCCCTTCCTAGCCTCAGAGCCTACCAAGCCCTCATTACCTGTTTGGGTGTGGCATGGGGGTCCTTTTCATTGAATGCTGGAGCATCGACGGATTTCCCTGGTAGATAATTAGAAACAACCAGGCCAACCAGGAATCGCCATCTATTCGCCTACCACCGGAAAAAAGAAAGAAAGAAAGAAAGAAAGAAAGAAAGAAAGAAAGAAAGAAAGAAAGAAAGAAAGAAAGAAAGAAAGGACACCTCCGCTTTGCTCCAGCTGCCTGGCTTGCTTTTGGGTCGCTCCCCCTTCGACCAGCCACGAGACACGCCTCAGGGTCTCCATCTCCTGCGCCTCGGCGGAGGCCGCCGCCAGCTCCCCCCGCAGATAGGCCGCGGCGTCACGCCGCAGCTTGGCCTCCGCCTGCTCCTCCGACAGCTCCGCTTCCTCGGATGGCCGGGAACGCCGGACCGGAGTCACGGGCCAATCACGGGGGGAAACGCCGTCTTTTTGTAAAAGACATAGTTCACTAGAGGCTTTGGAAGTACTGGGAAGATATGGTTTATCATCACGCTGGTGGTTGTGACTGTTGAAGCGCCGGCGAAATGGAAGCCCTGGCGTAAGATTCGTTGCTTAAACACCAACCAACAAGGTTTGGATGGTGCGAAATCCTCTTAGGCACCTCTGTTCAGAATCATACCGTAGCGAACGTTGTGCTGCGAACGGATTTCGTCCATCCACAAGTCTCACAAGACATCTCAGCCTTCCTCCAGCATTGCTGGCCCAGTTCGGACCCAGGGAAGACTCGCGCCGCGATTCATCTTTTTTCCTGGGTTGCCATGGCTGGAAACAGGAGAGACCAAGCGCAAGCAGACCAGAAAGGGGCAAGCCAAAATCAGATCCTGGTAAAAAGAAGGAGGCACTCTAAGGGTAGACCAAAAAGGGCAAGCCAAAATGAGAATAGTTTAAAAGCAGACAAGAAGGCAAGACAAACGACCAACAACAGGCAGACAAACAGGATGCCACGCACCAAATGGTCCACCCTTCTGGTAAAATCCCAAAACCCAGAGGGTCCAAGTACCTTTTAAGGAGGTACTTAGACCCCTTTTCACCCCCCAAAAGCCATCCTCATGAGGTACTTGGGCCCTTTGGACCCCCATTTCTGAGCCGCACCCAAATCCCAAGACCAATGGCTTCAGCCCAAAACCGGCGGGGCCAAACTCTTCTCCGTACCGAGCTTCCAGTTGGAGAGATCGCTGGCAGGTCCGGCCCAGCTCTTGGCACTTCTCACACGGCAGGGTGGTGATGGGTTCTTGTGACGTGTTTAACCCAAGTGAAAGGTTGCTTCAACAGGGGTTCCCCGAAAATTTCCCCTTAAAACATGGCCGTGGCTCAAAAAAATTGTATCCAAAATGGCCCCTAGGTAATTAGAGACCAACACTTGCGTAACCCTAGCTCTTGAATTTTGAGCCACACCCACATCACTACCAAGAGGAACTCAGCTTAGATCAACCAAACTTGTGATGTTTCAACCCACCCAAACAGGAAACGTAGGGAACCATGCACAACCTCCTTTTCGTTCCATTTATGGCCTCTTCAGAATGGTGGTGGGTGCTTGAAAGGGATCAGGTGTGATTGTCCAGCCTGTGTATGACCGTGGTCTGGCATTAGAAATCACGCAATGCTACTGCTTTGCTTGGCAATGTTTAACCATGCTACCTATGTTTTTTGGTCCCCTTGGCGCAAGGCGATTGGAATCTGCTTGTTACCCCCTGAAGTTTGAGGGTACCCGGCTTCGCCTGATTTAAAGGGAAGCTATAGGGGAGCCTAAAATAATTTGTCAGTTTTATGTGTGGCTTGAGCATTGGGCACCCCCTCAACCAGTGTGTAGAAAAGGCTTGAGCCACGCCCGTGCAACTGAACGGGCGCATTACAGTTCTACGGTTCCAACCGTTGCCTTCCCACTACACGTTTTGACGGGCACCGTTTTTAAAGTGACGCGCCCTTTTTTCAACACGGAGGGTTGCAACCAATCCATAATCCCAAGAAAATCACTGGAAAGACGACCCCTTCTTAGGTAACCTAAAGGATTTGAACAATGACTCCTTGATCTTCCAGGACTCTGGACAAGCAGGCCTGTTGCCCCCCTTTTTTTCTCCCATTTTTGAAACCAAGAGCAACATCAAGAAGGACCCTGTCTAGGTCCTCCAGTAGAGAGGTTAGAAGCAGGGTACCTTTTTTTTGAGTTTTGCCTGTTTTAGTGGGGGAACCCTCCCAACCAACCAAGTGGGTGAGAAAGGGCACCTAGCTAGGGACCTAGCTGTTCTTTGGGGGTCCTTGCAAGACCCAACCATCGTTCTTTCCAAAAACCGGCCGTTTTCCCTGGGTTTCCGGAGGTTTTCTAGAAAGAAGGATCACTGGGAAAGAATGGATATGGAAGGTAGCCCTAGAAAGACTTTTTCCACCCGCAGCCAGCGCCAAAAACTCACCACGCCGGGCTTCCGCCCGCGACCCGCGAGCCGCCCGTCCGCCTGGCGCTCTTCCCGCAGCTCCGCCTGAAGATGGCCCTGCTGCGTCTCGAGCTTCATCAGCTGGGCGGCCTGGGAGGTTTGTTCGGCTCCAACGCGGGGTATCCTTAAAACTGGGCTGCCGGGAAAACCGGATGCGCGAAAAGTGTCTAACGTGGGTGGAAAAAAGGAAACTACCACTAAACACTAACAAGTCCATGATCTACCACCCTACCAGCGATTCTATGGGTTTGTGCACAGACCCCTGTAGAAAGACTTTCCTCTTGGTTAGTTGGCCTTTTTGCACTAACCCATGTTTAGTTGGTGGGAGGGTATCCTCAGCAATAAGGGGATGCCTAGATAGCCAAGTTGCAATTGTGTTTTTCAGTCACTGTTGCTAGTTTTCGGGGTAAAGTGAATCAAACAGAAGCAGCAACTTGGCTATCTAGGTGGCATACGTATGCTGGATTGTTGTGCCACAACAACTTGACCAATTCCATGTACCAGTGACCAATGACCTTTTGCTAGATGCCACCTCCATGGGTCAGAGTCTGATGGCGGGTCTCTTCGGACGTCAACCCTTCTGGATGTGCTCTCTGGATCCGCATTTCGGGGGCATAAAGCGGGCGGTTCAATGGCACTCATCAAACTCATGTTCTTTGGTGGGTTCTTCTCTATTGGGATCAACCCAAAAAAGTTCAATGATTGGTCCAGCTTTCGTGCCACTAAACTGAAAAAGGTGAGCTCACAAGTCTGCTCCCTGTCCCAGACTTCCCGCGGAAAAGATACCTCCATTGCTTTTCGGGTAAGGGAAATCTGGGCTGCCCTCAGATGTCCCGCTTGAAGTTTAGCTTTTCGCGGGTTAAGTGGAAACTACCACTAAACACTCAAAGGCCAACGAGGCTAAAAAGCTAAGGAGCCGGATGGCTCCCGCGCCACCAGTCACAAAGAAACCCCAGGCCAGCCGAACTTGCGCCAGGGCCCCTGGGGAAAATCCACAGCCAAACTTAGGGGCAACTGGGCCTTTTCGGGTAAAGGGAAAATCCAGGGCAGCCATGGGCAATAACCCAGGTCAACTTGGGCCATACCTGGGATTGCCTGGCAAATCAATCTCAGGTTCCACCTGGGTTCTTGTCTATTGCTCACTTGCCCAAAGGACCCATCAATAAAAGGTGCTCACCTTTTGGGACCCCTAAAATTAGAAACAGGGAAAACCAAAAGGTCAGATCAGGTCGATTCGCTTTGAACTGAGATTGAAATCGACGGCTTCAACGATTGGTCTAACCTGGCGCTCGCTCCTTGAGCTCCGCTTGCCGCTCGCTCTGCAGCTCTGCACGCAGCTCCACCTGAGGTGTGTCCGGACCTGGGTACCGCCTCGTGGAACGGTTTTGTTGGCCAGGCCAAAAGGCCCCTACCCGCTACTCCAAATACCAACCTTTTTTCTAGGGTATTTTATTGAAAACCGATCGGCTTTTCAAGGTAAGTACCTCCATTTTTAGTAGAGGCTCTCGACATGATACCCTAACAAACAATAGGTATTTGGAGTCGGAGGTACTTAAAAGGGCGACCGGGTACTTAGTAAGCGGATAGCAACCATGGTGACATAACCCACAAAAGCCATGGTTGTCAGTCTCCGTTCAGGGGGTTATAACCCTTGCTAACCACTCGCGAAGTACCCGATCGCCCCTTCAAGTAGTTTTTGAGAACCCCCCCTTCTTATGGGGCCGGGCTGGAACAAGATGGAAGAAAAAGCGGTGATATGCGGTGCTTCTCTGGGATGCGCGTGAGACATGTGCAGGCTCTGGAATTTTGCAGGGGAGGACAGCACCTTCGCCCATGGCCATGGCGAGTCCTAAATTGGGGGGCTGGAAGAACCAAGAAATCCGCTGAGAACATGAAAGTCTGGCTTTGCTGCCGCCTAGAGTTTCCATGACCCTTTAAAAATGGATCATTACCCTAAATAATGGGGTCATGGACCTATTTTTGAAGGGTCATAGACTCCAGGTGCTGCTTTTTGTTGCTCTTTCAAGGTATGTATTTGGGTAGGGCCAAAACCGAACACGAATCGCAGATTTCACCGACAGGAACCGTCAGGAATCGACGGCCAATTCCCAGAGAGCACTCTCAAAAAACAGAATCGAGCAGAGCCTCCTAAGATTGAATCATGTCCTTCCTGACTGGCGCATTGCGCCCCTAAATGCTTCCCATCAAATACTGCAAATGGCAGTGGCTCAAGATTAAAGAGCTAGGGTTACGCTGTTTTGGTCTATGTTTCCACTTACCACTGTTCCATTTTGGTACCGGTTTTTTGAGCCATACCCAAATAGCCCTTGCGCAACCGAGAACCGCGAGACATCAGGAACTGGCACCGGCGAAGCGAACCGAAGAACTTATTCGAACCGAGCCTCAAACTTAGTTTCTTGGAAACTGAACTTATTCGAACCGTCGTCATAGCGTCCTAAGCAAACGGAAGAAAAGCTAGGTCCTCCAGTAGAGAGGTTAGAATAAGGGTATACTCTTGTTTCAGTAGTCAATTTTAGTAGGGAAACCCTCCCTCAAAAAAGAAACGCTGAGAAAGGGCACCCTCACCAAAGAAGGGTGCGAAAGGGCACCAATTGCTGGAAAAACCTCGCCGAAGCAAATGGAAGAAAGGGGACACCCGCTGCTCCACACCCTGCAGCTTTCGGGTTTCGTTCCGCGCCTGTGCCTCTGCCTCGGCTTGGCCAGTCGCTTTCGCTTTCGCCGACAGCTGCATCTCCAGCTGCTTCGCCTTCTCCTTTGAAGGGACCCCAAATGGGACCCCAAAGCTTGGTTGCTGTTGACCCCAAAGGAGGGGGGGGAGGGGGGGACTATCCCCTTATTGACCCCTTCTGACTTAAGGGGAGCTACAAAAAGGGAGCTACCAAAACGCAAAGAGAAGGAAGCAAGGGTGTTAGTTGCTGTTGACCCCCCTGCAACAAGTTTTTCACTTTTCGGGGGTTTGGTGTTGAAAGTCCCAAAAGATTTCAACCAACAAAAGTCAAAGCCTAAAGATCCGTTACCCAACAGCAGTCAAGAAAGCGGCCGGAGACCTGCCTTCCTCCCCAAAGCCCTCGTGAGCAGAACCCGTCCAAACCAAACCAATGGACGCAAGCAGCGAGTTCAAGCGCCTCAATGAGGTGCGTTCTTTCCCCCGTGCGGTTTCGCTTTGGCCTTGGCATCTTCCGTGGAGTTTTTTGTTGCTTGCACCCCTGACTCCAAATACCCACGTGTTTAATTGTTTTTAGGGTTATCATGTCGACCACCTACTAAGAAAGGAGGTACTTACCTTGAAAAACCGATCGGTTTTCAAAACAATACCCTAGAACAAGTGGGTTTTTGGAGTAGGGGGTATGGGAAAGCCAGGCCCAAGCGGTTGGGTGCTCACTTCCTTAAAATGCTCAAGCTTTCGGCCAGGAACCCGATTTCCTACGGGTTTTTGTATCAGACCCCGGGAATGCACCCACCCCATGGCACATTTCCAGAATAAAAGCACGGTGATTTTCAAGCATGGGGTCATTTCCCAAGGGTGTAATTCCAGGGTGTAATGCAAAAACCCTCCGACTATTTAGCGGAACAAATCTAGGAAACGGCTTGGATGCGCTCCCTGTGGATTTCGCCTGGTCTTCCCCCGTGTTTTTTTTTTTGGGGGGGGGGTAGTCTTCCAGTACCTTTTAATATTCCACAGGAGTGGATCCAAAAGAGAAATAATTTTCTAGAACCAAGGATTCTTTGCATGTCGACTGCCTTGCGGCCCTGATTCGAAACTCGACAGAAGGAAAGACCAGTTGCGCAGTGACCCCTTGTGGGATTGACCATTCCTAGCAGGAAACCCACCCCACAAAAAGTGATGCCAGCTTCCGCCTCCTTCCAATTGGTGATTCATTGATTTACCCTCCACAAGAATCAGCAGTTCGATTCCCCAAACCACCAACCCAAACCACCACTAGGTCCTCCAGTAAAGAGATTAGAATAAGGGTACCCTTTTTTGCTGTAGTCTATTTTAGTAGGGGAACCCTCCCCAAAAATAGTTGGTAAAAACTGTTTGATCCCTTCCAACCAGGGCCATAGAAGAAGCCTTGCGCCTGCGCTTCTTGAACCGGGGTACATCAAATGGCTCATTCGCCGCTCAAGGGAAATAGGAAACGCCAAAAGCGTCCGCCCAAAGGAAGCCCTCATCCAACCATGCGGCAAAAAAAAAGAATTTCATTCAGCTCCTCTTAGGAATCCAAGCGTCAAAGGAAATCAAGGGCGACTTTGTAAAGGCAAGCAACTGTTTCTTCATTCAATTGGGAAGCCAACGCAACCCAAAGGAGGGCAAAAAGTCAACCAGCGCACCAAAATACAGCCATGAGCACGGAACCAACAAGAGGAAACCATTCATGAAAAGGGTCCCCCTTCTTCATTGAATGGAACCCAACCAGCGATCCAACAGTAGCTTTAGAAGAAAGCTAACAGGAAGCAAACAAGGAAACTAATTTGAAAGCAATAGGAAGCCGACCTGTATCGTCAAAACAATCCCAAAACAAACGCTGGCTAACAAAGCGTTCTTCGGAAGGACATCCGATGTTCGGAAACCTTTAGGTGTGTCCCTCTAAACCCAGGTGAAAAGCGTACCGAGCCTCAAAACAAACACTCAGACACACACACACACAGACACAGGAAAGGCAGCAACAAAACTTGTTCATGGGTGCAAAATTGTGGGGTGAGAACCAACACGCATTCCCACACTTGACTTCGTGAGGTGGAATTACAAAAATGGTGCTGCTTAGAACCCAGCTGCATTTTGGGAACCGAAACCCTTCCGACATCCATTGAAGTAACATCTCTCAAACAATTTAATTTGGGCTGTTCTGCCCGCAACATTTTGCCGATCCTGAAAACCTTCAATCGTCCTCCAAACCCTTTACTTTTTCAGCCCTTAAACGTGTTGGACCCCGCATTCATTTTTTCAGCTTAAGTGGTTGGAAAAGCAACAACTTGCGCCCAAATGCGTCTCCACCTGGTCCCCTCCCCTCCCCTCCCTTCCCTCGTCTGTTAAGGGAAGCCCCTGTTTTGGCGCCGGTTGGGGGGGAGGGGGGGCACTGGCAATGGGGGTGGGGGAGAGGGCTGGAGCCGGGGCTGTGTCGCCTCCTGGACGTCGCTTTGGAGGGCCTTCAGCTGGCTGCCGCTCAGCTGAAGCTCGGCCTGCAGCTCCTGCAGCTCCTGGAGGGGTTGGAACAATGGAGGGTGAACTCGGCAGTTATCTTGGTTGCTGTTGACCCCCCTGCAACAAGTTTAACTTTTTTGGGGTTTAGTGGAAAACTAAGCAGTTATCTAGGTTCTCCAGATTTGAGAGGTTAGAATAAGTTGGTACTGACTTTTTTCAGGATGTCGATTTTAGTAGGGGAACCCTCCCAACCAAAAAAAGTGAGAAGGGGCACCCAGCTGGGAGACCACTTATGTTGCCCTCCTTGACTTGCTGGTGCGATAGGTGCCGTAGGGAATGGGATTGGTTAGAGGTTAGGGTACCCACCTTTTTCTTTTTTGTCGTCCTTAGTAGGGGAACCCTCGCAACCAAAAAAGGGGTGAGAAGGGCACTACTGGGGGGACCTAGTTCTGATGCCCTCCTTGACTTGCGGCCGAGGTACTGTGGATGGCTGCGCAATCCGAGACCGCGCCACGTTGAAACCATGGTTGTTTACAGCAGTATCATCATTCCAGGGATTCTTGGGTGATGCGAAATGGATTTCGGCCGTCCGCCGAAGGGATTCCGTACTGAAGGAAACCATAGGGGATGGTTTATAGGGGTCAATCCCTCATTCCCTGCCTATCGCACCAGCAAGTTGAGCGGTTCCTTTGGGTTTTGGTAGCTCCCTCTTTGGCTGCTTTGACCGGGGCCATTCTGTTGCCTGCTTTCTGCGTTGTCAAAGTCAGAAACTAGACCGCTTTCCTTTGACCAACCAACCAATTAGACGGGACTTTGCCAGCTGGACGGACAAGGCCCAGAATGAGAATCCCTGTTTCGCGAGGGCTATAGTCACAGGCACGCACTTAGTCTAAGGCCTTCTAGTGTTCAGGGCCTCTCTTTGGCTAAGTATACTGGTAGATGGAATCACTGAGGGCTGCTTAAACAAAAGATGAAGTTACGATATCTATATGATGTATAGATATATATATATATATATATGTACACGTTAGATCCACTACTACCAAACGTCTTGCGAAGCAAGAACGATGTGCTACAAGTTCGTGTTCATTCGATGGAACCACTGAGGGCTGCTCAAACAAAAGATGAAGTTACGATATCTATATGATGCATATATATATATATACGTGTGTACACGTTAGATCCACTACTACCAAACGTCTTGCGAAGCAAGAACGATGTGCTACAAGTTCGTGTTCATTCAAAATATTTGTGTCCCAAGACAAACCAAGGGTACTGCATTCAATAGACCAAGATATCAAACGGGGGAGGGGGGGGGGTGCATGACCTTGATTTGGGATATTGTTCATAAATCGACAATTGATGGCTTGTCTGGGTGCTAAGTAAAACAGAAGGCCTGGGCAAAATGACAAACCCTTGCGGTGAACGCCCAAGATGTATATGTCCATATGTGTGGCCAGCAAAAGAATGGGGGCATACAAGCCGCCAAGCGTTTGCGCGCATTTCAAATTTCATAATATTCACACAACCTTCTCACCTCAACCCGCCCCCCTCCCACACCCGCGGAAAAAGGCTAACCAGGAGCACCCCTTCCCGGAAATTTTACTTCAAGAGGGCTTTGGTATAATTCCTAAAAACTAAAGTAAGGGACCCCCAAGGACCTTTCCCATGGTGAGTTCGTTTTATCCCCAGAGCTCGCCGTGGACAGGGCTCCCTGTGCTCCTCCTGGAGCGACTCCGCCTCCATGGTCGCCTCCGCGCTGTTGCGCTTCGCCGAATCTTCCTCGGCCTTCGCCACGGTGAGGGCGGACTCTTTGGCATTCAGCTCCTGGAACGAACTGTAGATTCGGCTCGCTTTCGGTTTTGCAGATGGTGTTTTTTGGTTGTTGTTGTTTTTCTTCTTCTTTTTTTTGAAGGAACGAGCTGTAGATACGGCTCGCTTTCGGTTTTTGCAGATCCTTCTGACGTTCAACCATTCTTAGATCACTCCCCAGGATTGCTGGCATTGGCTCTCCAGGTGAGACTGGACAATAGCATGTGTAATACTGGCATGACTGTTTCTCGTTGAAACCAAACAAAGCGAACATACATAATCAATCACCCGAGCAAACATGAGCAAACCTTCCTTGCGGCGACTGCAGCGACTGCCCCACATGTGTGTGTGTGTGTGTGTGTGTCCATCTTTGTCCAGACATTATCACCTTTAAACCGATACCCTGGTGTTCTTGTCCTTTGCTCATGTAGAATCAAGCAGGATTCTCACCTCAACCCTCCAACACCTGTCGAAAAAGGAACAGCTTCAAACGGAGCACCCCTTCCCTGGAATGATGGTTCTAAACGGTTCCCTTTGTCGCTCCTCCTGGAGCAACTGCGCCTCCCTGGTCGTCTCCGCGCTGTTGCGCTTCGCCGCATCTTCCTCGGCCTTCGCCACGGTGAGGGCGGACTCTTTGGCATGCAGCTCCTGGAACGAACTGTAGATTCGGCTCGCTTTCGGTTTTTGCAGATCCTTCTGACGTTCAACCATTCTTAGATCACTCCCCGGGATTGCTGGCATTGGCTCTCCAGGTGAGACTCGACGATAGCATGTGTAATACTGGCATGACTGTTTCTCGTTGAAACCAAACAACACGAACATACATAATCAACCACCCGAGCAAACATGAGCAAACCTTCCTTGCGGCGACTGCAGCAACTGCCCCAGATGTGTGTGTCCATCTTTGTCCAGACAATATCATCTTTAAACCGATACCCTGGTTTTCTTGTCCTTTGCTCATGCAGAATCAAACAGGATTCTCACCTCAACCCTCCCACACCTGTGGAAAAAGGAACCGCTTTCAACGGAGCACCCCTTCCCTGGAATTGTTCTAAACGGTTCCCTTTGTCGCTCCTCCTGGAGCAACTGCGCCTCCCTGGTCGTCTCCGCGCTGTTGCGCTTCGCCGCATCTTCCTCGGCCTTCGCCACGGTGAGGGCGGACTGTTGGGCACTCAGCTCCTGGAACGAACTGTAGACACGGCTCGCTTTCGGTTTTTTGAAGAGGATCCTGCTGATGTTCAATCGTTGCTGGATGATTCCCCTGTATTTTCGGGATCGCCGGCATTTGCTCTCCAGGTGCGACCCGTCATGACAAGTTCCAATCAATGCCCTGAGCAACTAAGTGACCCTAAGCACGCAAAGGACGGTTTTGCGGTGCGTACCCTGGCACCAATGCAACGCCTGTACCCATTTAGAACCTGTCAAGACACTCACCAATGAACTGAAAAGTTTAAAATGAAAGTACCCTCCCACCAATTAACATGACACTGTCCGTTTAAAAGAAAAATGGTCCAAAACCGGGACCCCCCCAAAACCTCAGGACTCCCAAAACCCGCTCCTCTCGCAGACCGTGCGCCTGCTGCGCCGCGAGCTCCTCCCGGAGCTGCGCGAGCTCCTCCAAGCATTGCTCCTGTCACACGGCCTCCGAGCCCCCAGCACTCCAAATGGGCGGCTGGGGCTGTTGGGGGTTGGGGCTGTTGGGGTTGGGGGGGCTGAGGCACTGGGGGGGAGCTGAGCCACTGGCCCATGTTTCCCGCTCCAAAATTTGAGTCGTACTGAGTCATACTCAAAACCTGGTACAACAATGGTTGACCCAGAACCATGCTTCAAGAATTCAGAAGCCGGAATTCCGCAGTGGTGTATGGCTGGGATTCTCCCTTACTACCCTCCAATTACCTGGGTTTTGATTGTGGCTCAAATGGCGGCTGGGCTGCGGGTGGGGGTTGGGGGTGGGGCTGTTGGGGGTGGGGGGACCCAGGTCTGCCCCTAATTTCCCCTTACAAAAATCACCCCACCAAGGGGACACTCACCTATGGGCCAAACAGGTGAGGTTTAAAAAAACAGCAAAAAGAGGGAAAAAACATAGGGACCCCGTTCTTCCATGTGCCCTTGGGCCGAATCCTCTAACCCAACGGCCCCAGACAAAAATGGGAAACGGCGTGGTGTGATTTTCCGCGACGCAGCTTCGTCCTGGAGATCCAACAATGTTGGGTTTCCTCGCTTGGAGTGGACTGGAGTGGACCAATGGAGCAGTGATCTAACTGGATCAATAAATGAGAACCTATGATGTATATTCCACAGGTTGCTTCATGATGTGTTCAGAGGGTAACCTGTACTTTTGGGGCTAAACCCCTTCATTGGTGCGCAAGGTTTACTAAACCAGTGGAATATTGGGGTCTCCGATTCGCCGCGTCTCCTCCAATTGGATGCCTTCGCTGGCCACCTCTTGCACCTCACTCTCCCACACCATTTCCATCTGTCTGAAATCCGCATCAGTCCTTGGCGCGTCTGACATGCCTTCAGCCGCCATCCCGAAAGCTGGCCATGCCAATGGCACACGGGGACACGTGCCACTTGACAAATGCCTGCACCGATTCCCTGCTTCATGTGTGAGCTTCTGGCACAGCTCGAAGATATTCCAGGGGTTGATTTGATTCCTTGTCCATTCTTTTCAACCATTGTTCTTTTCGAAAACCAGCTGTTTCCCCTGGGGTTCTGATGGCTTTCTGGAAAGATTCGGATCCCTGGGTTCAGAATGGAAATGGCAGTGTCCCCTAGCCACTCACATACTTTCCAGGCTGAACTGACGTCAACTATGCTGGGTGGTTTCTTCAAGGGATCTGGAAGCATGAGCGATTTATACTCACTTTACCTCCATGGGGCCTAAGCGGGGTTCCCACCCCAAACCACCAATCCAACCAATTCAGCCCTGATTCTTGGCCCCATCTGGGGTACGCAGATTATGTGTCAAAAAGGAGGGGGGGCTTCTGTAGTGCGTTTAGGGGGCTCGGTGGTGGTGTTTTTTTTTGGGGGGGGGGTGATGTGTTTGGGGTCGGAAAAGTTCTATGCAAGGCTCTGGGCATCTGCCTCAATCTGCGCCTCGACCGCTTCCTCTGTCATCAGCTTGGTCTGCCTGAGCCTCTCCTACGGGAAAAACCGAAGTCGGCCTGACGTTTTGCCGGGGTGGTTCACCATTTCCCTGAGACCGGCATGTTAATTGCTGGTCTCCCTTTACAGCCAGCTCCTTTGGCAAGGGAAGCTTCACAGAGCCCAGGCTAGCCATTTGCGTTTGCCGATGTCACCGATCTCAGCAGTTTCTTTGTCATCACTTGACGTTTACAGCCAGCTTGAACAAAACTTGTTGGGCCACTTTTAGATGAATTGCCTGCTGGGGTGATTTTAAGGAGTGAACATAGGAGGCCCTGGTCCCGAATGTATCCTTCAGGGACCCTGTTGAAAGGGAAAACACAGCAACACCAAGGAAACGTCTTAACGCTGCAGTGCAGATTGAACTTGAAAACCGTCTCTTTCGGGCTCCATGTTCATCTGCAGGGTAACGTTTCGCTCGTGGAACGGAAGCCAGGGAGAGAGAGAGAGAGAGAGAGAGAGGGACACCAAAGGGCAAAGCATTCACAAAAAACATCAAACAATCACACAACATGGTAAGCTCAGTCAGGCCATGTCTCCTTCAGCTCCTTGATTTCTTCATCTTTCTGCTCGTCCGGTACCTGTCAGAGCGGCTTCTCTCTGGGATAAGACCACTTTCTCAGTGAAAGAGACAATGCCATTTCAACTTAAGTTGACTCAATTCGAGGAGAACCCTGATGTGTGTTGCTCCCTGCCACCTGCGCGAGGTACAACAGCTCCGATCTTGAACCCTGGTTGCTTTCCCACGTGGGAGTTTGTGCTGGTTCTGGCTGCTGCTTTGATCCCTCCTTCACAGAATTGCCAATGTGCTCATTTCCTTCCCACGAATCCCCAACATGAAGAGGGCGGGGCATGGATGCGGACCTTCGGTTGCTGGAACCCATTAGGCTCCCTTTCAGATCAGAACTTGAAAGCTCAAACCATGCTTCAGGGGAAGGGCACCGGGTCACTTTGGGCGTCAAACAAAACTTGGTTGACGTTGGAAGGAGAGCAAACATTTAAATTTTAGCAGTCCGGTGAAGAAAACCCACTAAACCACAATGAGCAAACATGTAAAATGTTTCCCAACGACAACCATGAAAAAACCAGGCGGCACGGCGCCGCTGTTTTTTGGGGCAAACCTGAAGCCATAGGTTTGGAAGGCAAACAAATTCCGATAGGAGTATGGCCGGTCAACAGCTTAGACAGGGTTGTCTCCAAATAGGGCAGGCGTGCTTTTTTTTTTTGCAGAACCACAACAAATGCCAATGAAGGCGCATCAAAAAACAACCAACTGGAGGTATTGGGGGTGTGCAAATACAAATATGTATATACACACTTACATATAACTGTGCATCTGCATGCCTGCAACTACACATATGTATATATATATATTATACATATGCGTGTGTGTGTGTGTGCATAAATATGTGCGTGTATGGGTGCCTGTACATATCTCAGTCGCCTGCTGCACCTCCGGACTCGGCCCCGCGCCTCGCTCAGGCGCTGCAGCTCCTGCGCTTCGGCGTGCCCCAGATCGATGGAACTGCCCAAGGAACTCGTGCCATGCCCAAGAAACTCGGAAGCACACCTTGTTCATGGGTGGTGTTCGCCGGAAGGAAAAAGGGATTTACGGATTTACCCCCCCCCCCCTCCCCCCGGGCGAAAAAAAAACCTGAACGCAAGCTTTCTGTGTGGCAGGGGCGTTCTCTAGAATCCGCATGTGAAGAGGAACTTGAAAGCGAGCATGTGGGCCGTACCGACGCCTAGGAACCGGCGGCCGAGACACCCACTTCATTCTCAAACGTGACTTCAGCCGGGAAAACCCAGAGGCCCACCCCCGCCACGCCCCCACGCCCATCAGCCACCATTTTGGGGTCCTGGGAATGCTCCAGCTGCATCTCCGCAAAGATGCGCTCCGCCTGCCCCTGCACTTGCCCCAGCTGTCGGCTCACCACATCCACCTCGCAGCCACATGAGTCCGAGCCGAGGGAAAAATGGGTATAATGAACACTCCCCAGGTACCCTCCAATGGCGATCTTTGCGCTGGTTGTAACCCACCAAAGCAATGGTGTTAATTGGTGTTAATGGCTAGTCTCTGTAACCAGGGTTCCTTGCCATGCGATTCGTCCCAGACCATCTAATGAGACCTCCTTCTTTGAAACATATTGTGTTGGGGTTCCAGGCGGCAAAACAGACTCTTACCTTGCGGGAGGGGGAGGGGGAAGAATTTACGAGCCCGGACACATTTTTTGGGAGTGAAAGGATTCCCTTACAGGAAATCACAGGCGATGGTTTGTAGGGGTCATTCCCTCGTTCCCTGAGCACCAGCAGGTAAATGGGTGTCTCAAAGTCGGGGAGACGTCGAACATGGGTGGCTCCATCCCCCCGCAATAGGCACTGTCCAAGAAAAGACATGATCACAACCCTAGAAAAAACCATCGCGCCTCAAAGCGTCTGTTCCCCAAATATGCGGTTCATAGTGGACACTGGAATATGTTGGGTTGTCCTCTTGGTTTTTGTGGGATATTCGGCTGTCCTCCCAAACCTTCAGTAGACAACCAATAGTTTTGTCAGTTGCTCATTCAGGCTCGTACTGTGCCAAAACAATGCGAAGGACTACAGACTGGCATACCACGGATTGCCCCGGAAGGATGTCATCGGACTTGAACTTGGCTCAGTTGTTCCAAAGTGGGAGGATCCCTCATCCTAATTCGCAATCCGTAGTGGGACACCACAGAATCGAATTGGACAACCGAAACTTGCTCAAGATCCTCATTCCGTTCACTGGTGCCTAATAGGGCAACCTGGAGCCTAAGAACTCCATTTCCAGCCGGGCAACGGCTTTGTGGCACTTGCGGCTTCATTTTCCCATCCCTCTTCAGCGCCTCCCGCTGAAGCCGGTCGCGCTCCACTTCAGTGGTGTCGTGCTGCGTGGTTTGCACCTCCAGAAAATGCCACGCAAGTGACACGAACAGTACCTGAACTCCATCAAACTTGCAGGACTCACCCAAGCCACCTTCCCGGCACTGGCAGAGAAAACAAAGGGGAACCCTGTTTGATGGTGACCATTCTCAATGTCTAGTTGAGTTCGAAGCCCGGGTTGGGTCATGTATCCCGTTGACGTACCCCAGTTGTCTTTTGCATCCGTGTGCCCTTTAGGCTACACACAACTCGTACATGGCCGCAAATGGCTGATGAATACATGCGCAGCACACACACACACACAACAAACATGCACTTTGACCGCACCCGTGCAAAAAAACACACCGGCCACCCGTATTGCTCCTTTACCCGGAGCAAGACACCCAGGGGTCACCCGCAAGCAAAGCACCTATCACCTCCATTTGCTCAAGTCCCCAGGAAAAAAATAAAAATACGCCCAGTAGTGAAATCAATTCCCTTTAAAACCAACAGGGGAAAAACATATATTCTGAACCAGCTGGAATATTAACATGGAACCTGACGTTTTTCCTGGAAGCAACGAACACTATGTCCAGTAGTGAAATCGATTCCCTCCAACAGGAGGAACATATGAAATACTGTGGATGGACGAAATCGTTGAAACCCTGGGAAACCATTGTTTGTTGGTGTTTACAGAAGAATCATCATTCCAGGGTTTCTTGGGTGGTGCAGGATTTTGTCCATCCACAGTATGGTGAACCAAATGGAAGATCATGTTGTTTTTTTGCCCGTCTTCCACCGGAGCTCCACCGATTCGGAGCTTCCCCGAACTCCGGCGCCTCCCAAAGCTGCACCTTCAGTGCGTCGCACTCCTCCTGCAGCTCCTCGCCTCGGCACCCGCCACGCACCCCCCCGCTCCCACCCGCCAGCCATCCCCGGAAGCGAGCCTTGGCATTGGTGGACGTTGGAAGGGGAGCAACAAACATATTTTTTAGCAGTTCAGTGGCTTGATGATTTCAACCACTAAACCAGAATATGCAAAAATGTAAGATGTTTCCCAAGAACCAAGAGGATGTGAGACAAAAACACCGTTGGTTTGTGCAGGCACCCCGGAAACAAGAGCATGAGCCAAAAACCGAAAAGATCAACCATGCCGAACACATTGAAGTTCCCATCACCTTGCGGGTGAAGAAGAGTCTTCCCCGCAAAAGAAAAAGAAAGGCACTCCTTCAACGGATCTCCAGGGGCCAACCCATCTCTCCCTCCACGTTTGAAACGCAACTGGATGTGAGATAGGGGATCTAAATGGAAAACCTGATCCGGCACGTTTCTCCTCGGGAAAAAACTGACAGCCGTGAGTTGTTGAGACCTGCTCTTTTTCACACAAGACCACCTCGACTCGTCCTCTCCCACATCCTTCCTTGAATTCCCAAAAAACAAAACCCGCCCCCCCCCCCCCAAAAAAAAAAACGGCGCTGGATCGCTCGATGGATCGGTTCAAGGCGCGCTCTTGCACCAAGGCCTCCATGGACTCCCATTCCTCCTTCTCTTTGGTCTCTTCCTTCCTCCAGAAATGGGAGCACATCCATCACTCTGGGCTAATCTCAGATACCCCGCCAAAGACTAACTTTTTGTGGGTTAAATGAAAACTACCACTAAACATTAAACAACTAAAAAAACTAAGGGGATGGCTGGGAGCCGTTCGACGTTGCAACTGCATGCCGAAAATCCTCCCAAATCCAAATGCTTCCAAACTCGACAGGATGTGCGAAAAGCGATTTGCAAACAAAAGCGGTTTGCAAACAAATTGATATTGCTCAGCCTTACCCCTCAGCCAACAAACACTTCCATGTGTGGTGAGAGGGTACCCTTTTTTTCTGTAGCCTATTTGTTAGTAGAAGAACCCTCCCCCAAAAAAGGGTAAAAGGGCACTACTGGGGGACCTTGTCTTTTAGGCAAACCGTAAAAGGGGCCTGCTACCCATTTGAGTGGGCCCCCATGTTGCTTGCCAGAACCTGAAATAAGAAATTGATCCCCAAGTAATGCATCTACATTTTGTCTCGCCCGTCTTGTTCGCCATGACATTCGCAGAACAGTTGGGCCAAAACACATTTAGAGTCGATCGGGCTGTTCAACATGGAGGGTTGGCCAATCTGACCCTCCATGAACCATGCAATTGGTGGCTTCTTTTAAGGGGATCCCTGGGTGCATTCTGCATCACCCCCCACTGAACACCAAGTCAGGCAAGAACCGGCCGCATCCGACGCAGAGACTGCGCGATGAAACCGACGTGCCTGCCCGGCAGCGGGGGGATCTTCGCCAGCTTGCCTCTCACCAGCTGCACCCGCTGCACGAACTCCGGGCTACCGGAGCCGCGGATGGAGGAGGGCCAGGGGCTCTCCTGGCAAACTTGAAGCGTTGTGTTTTTTGTTTGTGTTGTGTGCCTTCTTTCTGGCCTTTTTTGCTTGGGGGGGGGGTGGTCGCTATGCGTTTCGTGTTGTGTGTCTCTTTTCTGGCCTTTTTTGGTTGGAGGGGGTGATCGCTATGCTTTTCCTGTTGTGTGTCTCTTTTCTGGCCTTTGTTTTTTTTGGGCGGGGATGGAAAGTGCTTCGTGCTTCTGAGGGGGGAAGTTGAGGGCCGTTGTTTCGGGAATTGGGCCCCTTTGTTTGGCTCCGTGTACGTTAGGGGAGTACGTGAATGTTGACTCGGCATACTTCTTGAAAAGGAAACGGAACAACAACAAAATCAAGAACTGCGGAGAGCAGGAACAGCCTATCTGGGTCTGTTAATGACCTAGGACTGAAGCCCTCCCTGGACCACTTTGGAAAATGAAATACGATGGGCTTAAAGTCAAGCCCTGCGGGTGTGCTATTCACAGGGCTCCATATGCTTCCCCCTTTCGTTTCAACATCGCAACACCAAGAGGAAAATCATCCTGGATGATTGGTCCAAAACAGGTTTAAACTTGCTAACATCTTGCAAGTACCGACTCTTTCCAGCCTTTCGACCCGTCCTTCTTAAGTGTCTCCGGATCCGGTGAGGTAGGCCAGCTATACCGGGTCTCCCGAGCCATGGCCATCTCCGTTCCTCCGAAAAGCGACCTTTTGGAGGGCACCCCTATCGTTTGTGCTCTTTGGGGGCGAAACCAAAAACAAAACCACAAGCACTTAAACAATGATACATACATACCTGCAGAAACACCTGCAGAAACAGCTGGCGCTGGGGGCAATTTTTGTTTGGCTAAAGCGCATGGTCCTAGGCAATCCGGATTTAAGGTTTCGGAGGTGAAATCTCTGCAGCGCCACGACCAAAACCTGGGCGAGTTGAGAATTCAGTTTGGGCACCAAGTGTGTCACCGCGCCATCCATCCCTGACAGATTCCCATCTCAAGCATCTCTCAGAGGTTGCCACATGGATTTGCCTGACAAGGCGCGCATGATTGGTTGGCTTCCTTCTGTTTTTTAGGTCGCGGCGCTTTTGGGTCAGGACTTGCGGCTTTGGCTTGGAGGAGCTCGCTACTGCATTGGCCTACCTTGTTGGTGGACAGTGGCTAAGAGCGTGTGCGCTGGCGGCGGGCAAGTGTGGCAGATCGCAGCTTCGCCAATGCAAGGCCAATTCAATGGCCCGCTGAAAGCCGGCGGTGCTCGCACAGCGTAGCTGCACCGGCTCATGCACCTGGTCTTCGCCGGCTCCCAAGTTGCGCCTGTACCACCGGGTGAGTCGGAAAGGTGACCGTGCCTAAAGGTGACCTTTGCAAATTCCTGCCCACTTTTTGCTCTCAGTCTGGCCGGTCTGTTCCTCTGCGCGGCCACCGCCTGGTGCAACGGAGAAGCGGAAGCAAGCCCGTGCGAAGCGAAGTGCGGTTTCATGGTGGCATGATCTGTTTATCTGAGGTATGTCTTTTATGGAAGCTAAAACCGGGAACCGAAGCATGCACCGATTCTATGTGGAGCAGGCTACAAGGAGCGACATGCCTAGCAGCGTCCCAATTATACAGCTAGCCACTTGCTGGGCCCTTGCCCGTGGCAACCAACCAACTAGCCAACCAGCCAACCAGCCAACCAGCTGGCCAACCAACCAACCAAATAGCCATTTGGCGCCGCCACACGCATCCAACGCAGGCATTAACTCGAGCCCCTGACCATGAGCATGTGAGCGTAGTTCGCTTTGGACAAGTGAGTTTTGCTTGGAATGTACTCACTTACCCACCTCCTACCCAGTGACAAGCCCAACTTTTGCTTGGGAATTTGGGATTCACCACTTTTGGAGTCCAGCTCACGAAGGAACAGCGGAACCTATTCGCAGAAAAAGCCGAGCCGCGCTGCACCCGCTGCTCCAGGTGCCGCTCGCCCGCCGCCCGAGGGTCATGTTGCGGGCTCTCGCCCGACCAGGAGTGGCGCAAGGTGGACTGCAGAAGCCCCAGCTGAGCCGTCAGCTCTTGCATGGCAACGGCGATGGCCGTGGTGGTCCAAACCGTTTTGGGATCCCATTTTGCTTTCGGTGCACCACCCAGTTTAGAACCTGTTTTAGTGGGGATTGGGATGTTCACTGGGGGCTAACCGGGATTTTGACCCATGGCCAGATGTGGCAATGTCGAGGTGTATCGGGACCCAAGCGCCCAAGCACGAAAAGAGGCAATTACATGTGGCTTTGAAGCCTTGGCCCCCTCGAAGCAAACCCAAAGAACGGTACACTCAGAAAATATCAGAAAACACCACTCATACATTTATTATGTTAGCGAATGTGTACAAAGCAATCATCAACTTTGTGGGAAGGAGGCCCCCTTCTGTGAATCAACAGGGATGTTTTGCAAACAAACGCAACCAGCGACCCCAAACCTGGTCTTCACAACCCTTGGTATGGGTGCAAAAAGCTGACTGTTCTTGTAGTTCCCTGGCACTGAAGAGAACCAACACAACACAAAATGTAGGTGTGCCCAAACCTTGGGAACGAATGGAAAGACCCGATTTGACAAAGCCGTGACTCAGGGGCCTTTCAAGGGCTTGAGCCTGCGCGGTGGGTCTCAGCTTCCGACTGGGTGGCTTGGATTGCTTTGGTGGTTGGAGGTTTCCCATGTACGCTCTATAAGAACAAGGCGTGTCTTCAAATCCCCACACCAATCTATACCACCTAAGGGCTGCCTGAACTACGAGTTTTCTGAAGGAAATCTTTGCCCGAGTAGCGGGAAGGTCCCTCAGACAGGACGTTCCTTGTGGCACCACATGCCTCCGAGTTGGCGAATGTCATGCCGCATTTTGGATACTCCCATGCTGGCCATGCGGGGAAAGCCAAGAACGGAGCGGGATGCCTACATTAAAACTCCAAACTTGGAGGGAATTGTGCCATCTACTTTCACCAGCTGCATTCAATGTGGGGGAAAAACCAGCTGGTGCATAATATACGTATGTATATACCGGAGACGACCCCCCCGCACAATCCACCCCCCGGCTGTGCTCAAGAGACCCATGTGGCACTCCACGAAGAGATCGTTGGGCTTGGTAATCTTCGAGGATGCGCTCTGAAGCTCCTGCACCTTCAGGGCTGAAGCCAGGCGCAGGTTGACCACCCATGGGCAACAAGTGTCTCACCGATCCAGTGTATTGGCCCAGAAAATGTCGAAGACACGTGCACTTCCAACATGGAAAGATGGCAGAAAAAGCCACAAGCAACACAACCTAGAGGGTTCCGGAGTGAAACTTGTTGTTGACCAGAATGGTCCAAACCGAAAAAGTCTGAAGTCTGAAACGGAACTCAGGGAGTGAGACATAAGCCTGGGTCCGCGACACAATTTGTCTTGCAATGCGGGGGGGGGGGTCTCTCGACGCACAAAATAAGCAAGTCAGCAACATGTAGCGCCCCGCTCGTTGCTGAGAAATCTTTGAGGGTACCCTGTTTTGGTCTGCAAAAGTTAAATCTGTGGGTCCAATGGAACATCCTCTGTTTCGCAAACCCAAAAAAAAACGTCCAAAGATCCGAGCACACAGCCATAAGTATCAAGCTTCTAATGGTCTGAAATCGAAGGCATCCGACGTCCGACAACTGAGCGGATCATTGGAAATATCGAGAAAAAAAAGGGGGAGCACTACGGGGAATTCTCCGTAACCTGCTGGCAATAACAGTCTATGCTAGATTTATGTTTTCTCTAAAAAAACATAAAACGCTAGATTTATGTTTTTGTCTTTATATATATATATAATCTCTAGAGCGAGTATGGCTCAAGGCCACGGGGCCTTCCACACGAAGACCTCGATGGGGCGCTTCCGGACCCCGAGGCCAAACCACTGGCCCACGCAGTCCTCGCGCCGTCACATCGGCGGCTGAACGCCTATCTATGGGTCTGTCGTTTTTGGAGGGCCCCCCCCTAAAGAAATAATGATAACCAATAACCTCCCCCCCCCTAAAAAAAAAACAAGAAACCTCCCCCCCCCCCCCAAAAAAAAAGAAGAAAAGACAAAATAAACAACAACACATACATGTGGTTTTCAAGCCAGACACCCATATTGGCCCATAAAATTAGGGCTCCGTAAAGGAACCCCAAAGAAACAGGTGAGACGAGCCGGGAAACAGCAGAGAAGCTAGTAGTGGGTGGGGCTTGAGGCGGAAAAGGAACATCCACATTGGCAACCTCTTGCGGTTGAAAGTGAATCCCCGCAAAACTTGCCACTTCTTCTCTTCTTCCTCCTAGTTGGCGATTTTGGATGGGTGGTTCAGGGTGGTGGGTGGTTTCCCATTCGCTGTTTACAACCAACCAGGGGTTCACCAATTTTTAAGGGGCCATGGAGACTCAGGTAGAAATCCGAGCTGTTTCGTTGCAAGAATCTCTGACGCCTGGCTTTTGGAGCTTATCAGCCGAGGCGAGCATCATCGATAGGTGGCTTGGAAAATTCCATGGAATAGCAACATAATAACATATGTAACACCCAAGAACAAGCATGATCCAGCCCATGTTGGCTGACCTTTTGGGAAATTCCGTCTGCTTGGCCACCTATCCCTCAGCAAACGCGGGATCGCCCCGCAGAGAAACAGCGCCCTGCCGAGCGGCCCGCCAGCTGAATCGAATCACCGTGATGTGCTCCATTCCAGTGGCCAGGGCAATGCGGTGCCGGAACCGGAAGACCAAGTAGAAGCAAAACCTCGCTGGAACCAAAAGGTTTTATTGTCAGTCAGGAGGGGCTTTGTGCTATTTTTGTGGCATCTTTGTGGCCTTTGGTTGGGTTCTTGAGTTTCTGGAGTGCCTGGACATGCTCAAAAGGGGTTAACAGCTGGTAGACCAATTTCTGAAAAGGGGGCGTTGAAGCTAAACCCCGCCTGGCTTGGTCTTTTGCAGCTTGAGGCCACAAAGCGCAAGGAGTCACCACAACGCTTTGCTTGACCTCAGGCCTCATGCCATGTTGCGCCATTTTGGATGCTGCGATCAACATTTTGGATAGAGATGTGGGCGTGGTCAGAGGGCTTTGGCATCAGGAGACCGAGTGCGAAATGAATTTACAGAGCTGCAGGACGAGATTCCTCCAGCTTGGCTTCTTTCGCTTCCGTTTGCTTCCGTGCCCACTGGAAAAATAAGAGAGAACATATGTTCGATTCCCTTTAATGTTAGGCTGCGAATAATAAATTGGGAGCCACTACACAAAAAAATCACAAAATTGTTCACACCCCTGAAAAGCAAAAGGGGGAAGTAATACACAAAAGTTTTGTAAGGGGTAAAAAATCCGGAAAAATGTTCCCCAAAAAAAGTTTGATGATTAATCCATAGTGCAGTGCAACTCCTCTCTCTCTCTCTCTGCCACGCCCGCCCCCCCAACCTACCACCACCACCAACAAGGAGATGATGATTGAAGTCCCTGAAAAGGAAGTTTAACTGAGGTCCCCAACAGCCAAATTCTTTATGACAGCCCTTACTAATAGTTGCACCCTGCCACATTTTCAAGGGGGTAGTACAGGGAACACCCAGGAAGCCAATAATGAGATTTGTTTAAGGGGGGTTAATTGAGAAAAGCTTTTTAGGACTGGGGCTAGGGATGCCTGCAGGGAAAAAGGCTTCCCTTTCCAAAGAACTACTGAGTCTCCCCAGAAAAGGAAGTTTCCTTTCCAAAGAACTACTGAGTCTCCCCAGAAAAGGAAGTTTAACTGAGGCCCCAACAGCCAAATTCTTTATGACAGCCCTTACTAAAAGTTGCACCCTGCCAAATTTTCAAGGGGAGTACAGGGAACACCCAGGAAGCCAATAATGAGATTTGTTTAAGGGGAGTTAATTGAGAACAGTTTTTTAGGACTGGGGCCAGGGAATACTGAACCAATACTAAACCAATTCTAAACAGTACAAAGCCAGTCAACCAGAATACTAAACCAATACTAAACCAATTCTAAGCAGTACTAATTCTGTCAGCAAGAATACTAAACCAATACTAAACCAATTCTAAGCAGTACTAAGCCAGTCAGCAAGAATACTAAACCAATTCCAAGCAGTACAAAGCCAGTCAACCAGAATACTAAACCAATACTAAACCAATTTTAAGCAGTACTAAGCCAGTCAACCAGAATATTAAACCAATACTAAACCAATTCTAAGCAGTACTAAGCCAGTCAGCAAGAATACTACACCAATACTAAGCCAATACTCTACCAATACTAACCAACATTTACCCCTCATTTTGTTTTTAGGGTTTCCTCTATTGACCCCCCCCATTTTGTTTGAGGGGGGGGCCCTTTATTATTCACTCCCCAACATTAAAAGCAACAAAGGAACATACGGAAAAGAAGAAGAAGAAGAAACAAGCTTCAGCAAATGGAAGATTCATGGCAAGGCTTCAAGAGCAAATAGGCTCAATTGCCCGGCTGCATGCCGCCCCCGGGTTTGTTTTCCCAAGCATCCGACACTGGGGCCTAGGATAAAAAAGGGCCCCTCCCCATATATTTGATGGTTGCGACATCTGAGACCGCACCACCGTTCAGAAAAAAATGGGAATGACACCATAACGTTTCTCGGTATTTACAGGGACATCATGGTACACCAGGGTTTCTTCGGTGGTGCGATATGGGTTTCGCAACCATCCACAGGAACAGTAGGTTTTCCTTCGTCCGTGAAACGCATTTCCTGTTTCCTCTTGCCCATCCATCCTCATCCTTTATTTTGACTAGTGACAAAAGCATTTACAAGCAAACATAATATTCCGAAGCCACAAAATGGAAATAATATTCATAATATCTGAAGCCCTGGGATTCAAAAGGCCTTTTCAGAAACGGCCGTTTGTCGAAGAGCCATTTGTGGCAAGAATGCATGTTTTCACTGGTTCCGAAGAGCCATTTCTGGATTCCCATGTTGGCCATAAGTAAGACCATATTTCTGGACTACCCTGTTGGCCAATAAGCAAGACCCACCCCCCTCCCCCCACACAAAGCTGGCAATCATATAGGCCCCAAGCTCACATTAGCCAAGTCAGAATT